GAGATTAGAATAGAAGAAGAAGAACCTGATAATTTATTTATTTTTGTACGAGAGAAGAATGAAATCCGTCGATGGGTTTTTCTCACTAATCAACGCTCTAATTCACATAACTATTCCTGCTTTTCTTCAATAAAGCACGTGATTTCGTGGATTTTGTAGGGGTATATTGGTAATATTAGTAAAAAAAAAATTTAAATTAATCAATTGTTCATTACAAATTGCATAAGTAGCCTTAATGGGCCGGATAATCGATAGCCTTAATTTTATTTTATTTTTTTAAATAATCGATCGCAATAAGTTTTGGTATAAATAAATAAAAAATACTTTTGAAACTATGTTATAGTCATTGTTGGTCTTAATAATGTGTTCTGTAGACTTTTTATTGGTGCTAATTCAAGGATTTAGACTTGTTAGAAAATCTTATAATTTAGTTAAAAAAACATTAAAAAATAGGTTTGTTTAAAATATTAATGAGTTTATTAAATTCTACTATGTACTCGTCATGAATTCTTCAGTATTAATTTTTTTTTTTTAAATGGCACGAGGAAGAAATTCATAGCTGATGTCATGAAAAAAGAAGTGAAACCCAAAGAAAAAGTGATGAGAGTGTTGTGAAAATGTGATTCTAGCACCAACTTTTCATACAATGCACAATAATACAATAATTTGCTACTCGTCGTACTTTACGAAACAAATATTAATTTTTTGAAGAAATTACAGTGTAGTAATCGCAAGCAAAACGATATTACACATTTATTAAACTCTCATTATCATAATTGGCACCAGTAAGACGAAATTAATTTACGTTTTTTTCTTTTACGACGAAATGTTCAAAAAAACCAACATCAGTCAAGAAAAAGTATGAGCATTTCCACTAATAAAATCTCTTATTCATATAATAAAGCTAGAAAAACAAGGTTGATGTTAAAATTAACTTTACTTTGAGCAGCAGGCACCATCAATTACATTAAACCGAAGAAAAAAAACTCGTTTCTATATCCAATCTGAGAGAAGAAGAAAAATGGTGTGCCCGGGAATAATGTTGAGTAACAATTCACAGGAAAACAGGAGCCATTACCAGAGTTATTGTAGCCAGCATTTTTATCAGAACATGTAGAGATGGTCCTGCAGTGTCTTTGAACGGGTCCCCCACACTGCCAAAAAACAAAAACCCGATAAAAATACGATTTTTAACAGCTGGAAGAGTGAAACAATTGTATTCAATTAAATAACACTTACGTATCACCGGTAATAGCTGCTTTGTGGCACTCGCTCCCTTTGCCTCCAAGGGCACCTGTTTCTATGTATTTCTTTGCATTATCCCACGCGCCTCCAGATGTGTTGAGGAAAAGAGCCATTAGTATACCAGAAACTGTGGCGAACATTAACATCGAAGCCACAACTTTTGCCCCTAGCAGAGGATGGCCCGTGTAGTACCCTAGTACCTTGAATATAAGACCTGGGGAAATAAAAATGAATGAAACCCTTTACATGAATGTTCTAGAACCAAGTGAGGAATGTTCTAGAAGAAGCAGAATACTTACCAACAGCTATGGGTGATATAATGGCCAATGCTCCAGGCTTTATCATCTCCCTTAAAGAAGCAGATGCTACAATAGATACGCACCGACCGTAATCAGGTTTCTCCTTATAATCCTGAAACAAACAAGCAAATTTTAATTATTCGATGTTTATTATTAACAATTAAAAAAAAAAAGCCACAGAAGTTTGGATACGAACCATGATCCCTGGCCTCTCAATGAATTGTCTTCTCACTTCTTTAACTACCTCCTGAGCAGTTCGACCAACTGCAGCACAGGCCCACGCACTAAATAGGAATATAAGCATAGAGCCCAATAATCCACCAACAAAGACTTCGGGAATGGCGATGTCGACCTGTAATGCGAGTTTCAAGAAGATCAAACAAAATCTGCAATACCCTGTGCGGTAACTAAAGAGACAGCGATTAGAAATATTGCAAGAGAAAGTTTGCCTGCCTGAGCAAAGGGTAGGTGGGAAAAGGTAGAAACTTCATCCATGTAAGCACTAAAAAGAAGAAAAGATGCCAGTGCTGCAGATCCAATCGCAAATCCCTTGGTCGTAGCTTTTGTAGTATTGCCAACCGCATCAAGAACATCGGTAATTTCACGAACACTTTCAGGCTGTAATTGGAAAGTGTGGCATCAAAATCTTAACATAAAAAGGGTACTTTAAAAAATTGCACTTGCTTAGAAGAATAGCAAGAGTACCTGCTGACTCATTTCTACAATTCCACCAGCATTGTCAGCTATTGGACCAAACATATCCATCGTAAGAACATACGCTGCTGTACTGAGCATTCCCATAGTGGCAACAGCTGTTCCGAATAACCCACCGGTTGGATTACCAGACTCATCAACCAGTCCCGAAGTTTGGCCCAGCCAATATGCTGCGATGATAGACGTGCTAATAACGAGAACAGGAAGAGCTGTTGATTCCAGACCCAAACTAACTCCAGCAATTATATTGGTTCCATGTCCAGTGGTGCTAGCAAGTGCTAATGTGCGTACAGGCTCATGCTTGTAATCAGTGTAATACTTTGTGATCCAGACAAAGATATAAGCCGTCGTAATCCCAACCAGACCACACAAGGCAAAGTTAAACCACGCGGAAGGTGCTTGTTCTGTATACAGCATCCAGCGTGTGGACTGCGAAGCAATAGCAGTGGTCACAAGATGGAGCAACTAAAAGATGCAGAAGGAAAGAAACACACACAAACCATAGGCAAAACAATAGTAGACAGGTCCTAATTGATATCCATTTTTGCATTTCTATAGTCAAGAGAATAAACAGAGACAAAAGAGAGGAGAAATGTTTTTACCAAACCAAATGTCAGAACAGCTAAGACTATTGTTATAGAATATCCTTTCTCAAGAATTGCCATTGGATCCTCCGGAGCACTAATGACTCCGGAGTCACGTGTACCCCGAATAGAAAAGATTCCGACTGATGATATGATCAGGTCAAATGAGTGAACAACAAGAGGAAACAGAATGAAGCCTGATGGATCTGCATGTAAAATGACATATATAAGTCGCTGTTACATTCATCAGTAAAAAGAAGGACAAACAAAATTTTAAAATCAATATTCAACATCATTGCCCAGTTGCATGGTCGACATCAATTAAGCCTAAGTGCTACAGCTAAAAAGCATAGCTCAATTTTAAGCAACAACAAATAATTCACAAAATGAATACGACAAAAAGCTAATAATCCCAAGATAAATGTTTTTTGAAACATAGTTTGGACTTTGGAGTGAAAAAAGAAAAAAAATGCTCTTTCAGTAACATTAAAATGGAGCGAAAGATAGTTAAATAGTGAGATTTAAAAATGACAATACCAAATATATAAAACTAGACATATACACGAAAATCCACCAATCTGAAACTTAAAAGTTAATGGCAATATTAGGATGAGAGGCAAGTTAACCTCAAAATATGATCAATACACCGAAGGATAACAATGTCAGGTCTATGGAAATGCTATCTCATGTGAAAACTACAAAATCAGCTATCTCCCAGAAGCACATGTTTTTTTAAGAAAAATGAACAGACAAAAAACTGTATAATTCTTAGATGGATTTCAAAACATGTTTGCACAAGATAACAGATTCATCCATTTACCTTCGATTTTACAGCGTTGTGCCATTGATCCACCTAATATCATTGCACTAATTATTTCTGCAGCAATACTTTCGAACAGATCGGCACCTCGAGCAGCACAGTCACCAACATTGTCTCCAACCTTTAATTAGTCAATGATGAAAACATCCATCATGATGAATAAATAATACACAAGGCAGAATTTATCATATATGATGAATACAAATTCTAATAATATGAAGTCCAAATATATTTATCTACCCTGTCGAAGTTCTCTCTACATATATGACCATCCAAAAAGTCTAATAAAATATGTAGCTTGAAATAAATAATAATATAGGAACCTTCATACCAAGTCAGCAATTACAGCCGGATTACGTGGATCATCTTCGGGAATACCCTGCTCCACCTTTCCAACAAGGTCAGCTCCAACATCAGCTGCTTTGGTATATATTCCACCCCCCAACTGAGCAAAAAGTGCAACAAATGAAGCTCCAAACCCATATCCAACGAGAAGAAGAGGTACTGAAAGAAAAAAATAAGAGTCAAGATATGGTGGACACAGAAAATAGCAAAATTTTGAAGTTCATTAGGGTGGATCAAAATGAAGTGGTTACTTACAGTCAGTAATCTTCATGCCACCTGGTGAATCTACTCCCAACCAAACATAAAAGGTGGAATAAAGAATAGCAATACCAAGGACAGCCATTCCAACAACAATCAAAGCAGAAAAACCACCAGCACGAACAGCAATCTGAAAATTTGGATGTCAATTCATCAAATCTAAATGCATTTTAAGCGCACGTGAGTAAACATGTCCGACGAAAAAAAAAAAACCTGCAATGCCTCTCTTGCAGATCGTCTCGCTGCACTTGAGACTCGAACATTTGCACGTACAGAGACCCACATCCCCACATAGCCAGCAAGACCAGAGCAAAGAGCCCCAAGGAAAAAGGCAGCAACAGTAATATAAGCAGTTGCTGTCCTGCATCATCACGTGCAGAACACATCATTTAATGCCAGGAACTCCAATAAATTTAGCGTAAAATGTAGTGTGTGGTGGGTGGGTTCTTAAAAAAGGGGAGAACAGCATATACCAAATAAAAAATCAATAGTTACCTCCCCACACCAGAAGCTTCTTGCTGAGGAGTTGTACTGCGAAACAGGTAAATGACAAGGATTACTAATCCTAGTAAAACAGCCATCTTTGAAATAGTTCCGTACTGAGTCCTAAAGAAACCTTCAGCACCATCACGTATAGCTTCTGATATCTAGCAAGTAAAAAATAACAAGGTGAAAGCATGAAACAAAAGAAAAAAAATTCCACATTGTAATGCATAGAACTTTTTTAAGTTTAATGGAAAGGGAGCCTGGACCGGGAAATGATAGGCATTGATCTATATGAACTAAGAAGCTAGTTAAATACTCCGTTCGTATCTCCAGCCAATCAGCACATACGAAGACAGCGCATTTGGAAAATTTATATATAAAATGTGTAATAGATCGAAGAAGCTTGTGAAGGCATATGTCGTGTTTAACCAACAAAGAGAATGTCATCTAACTTTTTCTTCGACAAGCAAGTGTGGTGCACAATATTTGACTAGCTAGATGCGAGGACCGTTCCATTGATGCATGATGTCCTTGCCCATGTTTAAGATTACACATCGTTATAGCTCATACGAACCACAAAGTGGAAGTGTAAAATAAAAAATAACAAAAGTTCATTCTTATTTAGTTTCAAGCAACTTTCAATCGTACATTGAAAAATTTAAAAGGCAAAACTAAGATGGTGCATTTACAATAGCGGCAAATACATATTATATATATATATATATATACACACACGCACGCGCACACACACATATGTACACACATATGTGATATGTGTGTGTGTGTGCGCGCGCTTAACCCTTCAGCCCAACTCCCAGTTAGGAGCTCACATATATTGGCTCAACCACTAGACTCTTATTGAACAGTGTCTAAAGCCACCCAAAAATTTCCTTATAAATTTCAAGGCGAAAGACAAAAAAATTAAAAAAATCAGATGCTGTAAATCCTAAGAAATTGAAACAGTGAAATTTTCAAATTAGAGACAGAAATGCCTTCAGTATTATATTTCACAGGCAAAGACAACAAATTAGACTTCAGATGCAATAAATCCTTAAAAATAGAACAGTGAGTATCAAACCAAACAAAGAAACAGAAACCCAAAATTATTGTATTAAAATTGAAAATAATAAGTAAAGTGCAATCAACGGCATAATAAAATTACTTTATTCAACCATAAAATTCACTACAATAAATTATTAACCACTGGTTTCTTTTGTCAATAAAGCAGAATAAGAATTCAGTGCATATCAAATGAATACTGGACGCAAATGGAGTAGTACTAAGCAGGAAAAAAAATTTACCTGAACCATCTCAGGAGGCCCCTCATCCTTAGCAAGTACCCACTTAGTAAGGTATATAGAGACGATAAAACTGATTATGCAGACAGTGTATACAAACACAATAGTCGGAGAGGTTCTTGCACCAATATAAAATAGAGCTCCAAATCCAAAGAGCAGAAGCACCAAAAGAACTCGACTATTTATTCTCATGAGTAGACGAAAGATCTGCATAAAGCATTTGCAGTCAGAAAATGAAAAAAATGTGCAAAGAAAAAAATATGTACAAGCACATCAATAAAAAAAAAAATCAAAACGCATCTTCACAATTCCTCAAATTCATTCGAATGTGTTTTACCCATTATCAGTTAAATTTGGAAACTCTAGTGAGTTGTCCTGTGCAGCAAAGACAGCAAAATATCCTAATTCGTATATAATAATTACTTCGTGAAACGGATAGGCCATGATATGATTACAGGTTTCTGGTATGGTTCTCTACTTGTCTTTTAATCTCATGCCTCACCTTGAGTCATCTCTTTTTACTGCAAATGTGAACGAATACTAGTCTTATCTTTTTTCTAGATCAAATTATTTTGTTGTTCTTGGACTTTAAATTTTTATGTGGTCTGGAGATGAGCTCTCTTGCAAGAAATGATGGAATATCCAGGTCAGATCGAAAGGCATATCCTTAAATGACAAACAGAATGAGCAGTCCAAAGTTTTTACCTTATAATCTAGTTGCTATAAGTCCTTATACTGCCATGCGCGCAATTAAAAATAGGGATATAGAGACCTTTATATCCCAGTCTTGATGGATATATGCATATTTTCAGTACGTTTATGTTAGTTCTCTAAAGTTCCCAAGATCTGAGCCTTAAGACCACAATTGAAAGGAAAACAACATGCAACTGAACACACAGAGAAAAATTGTTTTCTCGACTGAGGTTCAAGTTGAGCAAATCGCAAATCAGAGTACAGATAAAATTAACTTTGTAATGATATGTGACACATAGGTTATACACTAGTACAACGGATGCACTTACCAAAGGTGTGTAAGGTTTACTACGCATGTTGGGGAATGTGCGTGGCCTTTCCTGATAAGGCCCCAAATTCCCAGTCTCCATATCGTCATCCATAGCAACAGCTTGGAAGGAGTTGACCCTCCGTGCTACAGGGAAAGGGTTAAACTCGCCACTCTGGGGCAAGTCGCCCCCGGAACCTGGTCGCTGTATCTTGGATTTTGTTAAATTTCCAGTGAGGAGATTAAAGAAATTGGTAAAGTTGGGAACCAATAAACGCTTCTCTCTTGGTCGTCAGATTCCTTGTTACATCAAATTCTCCACAACCAATTTTTTTTTCCTGAAACACATTCCACACCGTTATCAGTTTTTGAATAATCAAGTATTGACAATGATGACTAACACGAACACGAATTAACCCCCAAACAGAAAAAGGAAGAATAGCCCCAAAAAAGCTGGTCCCAATTTAAAATCTTTACAAACTAAAACGAAAAGGAAAACTTCTATCCGTGAAGCTAAATGCATGCTGCATTCTAAATCATCTTCATACAAACATGTATGCATATGAACCCAAAAAAATATGATAAAAATAAATAAATAAATAGGATCATATCACCACAAATAAGACACGGTTTACCAGCATTACATATAAATCAGAGGGTGCGCAGTGATTAAAAAAAAACGGAATTATCGGCGCACACAGTTCTGATCGATAAAATCGAATACGAATTAGCTAAATCATACAAACAATCGAAAATTAGTAGAGTAAATAAATCGAGAGAATTACGAGATTTCGTGGTTGGGATGGGATGGCTAGGGTTTTCAGACTGGGGGGTGCGAGATAAAACTGATTCGGAAGTCCACGGCGGAATTTCAGTCGTCGAGGGGTGGTTTTGTGAGTGCTGCTGGGTTTACCACTTCCGCTCTGATCCATTATACATTACATGTCACAGACTAATGAAAGACCCAATCGCTTGCTGCCACGTCAAGCACTACTTTTGCCAGGTCACGGTTCTTTTTTATCGTTGGTGCGTACGAGTAAAGACCGGTTTTATCTTAACCCCGGTCGGCTTTTTTTTTTTAATTTCTTTTTATAACCACTTGCTCATGAATAAATTATTTGTACATGGATTATAAATATATTGATATTATATTGAATTACATTTTAGTGGATAATTTTACAACTATATCAAAATGCAATACTCAATACTATAGTATTATTTATTATTAAAGCATGAAAGCTCCTCCTAACTTAAAATTAATTTCGATGCGGCTGTGAATATAAAAGATGGATGTATTGGTATAGAATTATTGCTATAACACATTATGTTGTATGTGTTGGATGATTTTCGACTTGTATAAGACAATTTTTGGACCCAATCGCAGTTGAAGCTAAAGCCGCTCTATTAACAGTGAAGTACGCACGAGATAAGTCGTGGAACTAAGTGATTATTGAGGGAGATTCTAATCGTGTTGTTACAGCAATTTGCAGCTATTAAGAGGAACGATCAACATATGGACATATCATTTCAGACATCCAAGCTCGTGTGTGCTCTTTCGAGTCCTTCTGATACACCATGTTTTTTCTTCTATTCATTTTAGCATTGTTATGTGACAATTTATGTAATTGACTATAGCCGATTAATAAATCAACTATATTTCTTTTGTAGGTGAATTAATTTTTTTGTTCTAATATACACTTTAATATTTTAATCAACTACACAAAACAACATAGTCGATCTACGTCCTGTTTAATCCAGAATTTAAAAAAAAAAATATGGTAGTCTAGAATTTCGAGAAAAAAACATGAGGGTTTATAACTAATTATTTCCAAAGAATAAACATATCTCAATGCAATTTCAAAATGGTTTTTTTTTTTTTTTGCTAATCCCTTAATTAATACAACTTAACATTATATTATATGTTAAGAAGATAAATAGAGGATATCAATTTGTTACCCATATTAGGCCATAATATAGGTTAAATACATGGTTTTGTTTCTAATTAGAATTGGATTTGACCCAATTCAATTAATTAATGAAGAACATGATATCACAAAAAGCATAATAATCAGAAATAATGCACGATGAGGGTAGAAATGGAAAATCAACTCAAACAATCTCAAAAACTCTCTAATTGTCACGTGTTTGGTTAATTAGACAAATTGGGCCAGGCAAAATTGAACTAAAAAGGCTTCAAGCCCAATATGAAAGACAAACTAAAAGCCCAATTTTGTTAATTAAGAAGCCCAAAATCAGGTTAGTGAAAAAATTTAACAAATGCATTATGATGTAAAATTATGACTAAAAATGTGAGCAGTAAGTTTCAAAGTTGTTGAGATTTGAGAGATACGAGGAGAAGAGATTTACAAGGTAGTTAGTTTTAACTGTTAGAGAGTTTAGTGCTGAATAATCTCTACCAGCTGCATTGATAAATTTTAATTAAGTGAATATTTAATATTATTTTTATTTATAAATCACAAGTTCTCAGCTGTTAAAAATGTTATTGTAAAATGTGATTATGACGAAAACGCCCCTCGCTGATTGTGATGGCATTATTTTTAATTTTTTTACACTATACTTGACGACAAAAATAAAATTTGAATTAACGGAAATATTCAAAGGTGATTAGAAAGTCCGCCGTTAGTTGACCGCTGCCTACTCCCATTGGTTGGTTTCCACCGAATTAGACACATTTGATGTTTACTTTAAAAAAACTATTTTTTTAATGCTGGCATGCACTAATTATCATGATTTGGGGCCATGTCACGACTTAGTAAATTCATTATAAAACTATCTTGCTAATTTAAAAACATATATATATATATATATATATATACATATAGACATATTAGTAATATATTAAATTCCTTGAAAATTTATTATTTATTTTATTAAATTAGAAACAAGAGCCATTTTATTCATTTGGCATTTACCTAAGTGTTAATTGTTATTGGAATCTAGCTGGTTTGACGACCCACCCAATTGACTCTAGCAATCATTAACTGAAAAAGCGATTAAATCTATTCATCAAACATTTTGCAGAGATAAAATCTCATATGCGGAAATCAAATAATTAATTGTTTCCCCCAATTGGTCAGACATTTTTATATGATATATACAGAAAGATTATTTAAATAATATTTACAGTAAGCACCTATTAAATCATTAATTCAACAATTTAATATTTCAGTAAATTAATAAAATTTTGTTAGTTGCTACTGATTTTAATTCAATTTTATGCATCTCATAAATGATATTTATAGGTAAGGGCGATTTAGTAATTGAACTCCCATTTTAATTTATTTTTTGTATTTAATAAAAGAAAAAAAAAAAGGAGTCTTTCTATTTTCCGAAAAATCCTCGCCCCCAAAACCACTGCTTAAACCCCTCTCAATCACTGATTCACTTTCCTATTTTTCTCACTATCACACACACACACACACTGTAATGGCGTTCATACGAAATCACCACTCTCTAATCTTCTTTCTCCTCTTTCTCTCTCTTCCACTTTCTCACTCCTCCTCAATCCACGATCTCCTAAAATCGATGGGGCTGCCGGCGGGCCTGCTCCCGAAGGAGGTGAAGTCCTTCACCTTCTCCGGCGACGGACTGCTCGAGGTTTTCCTCGACGGTCCGTGCCTGACAAAATTCGACACCATGGCCTTCTACGAGAGCGAGGTACGCGCTAATCTCACCTACGGCAGCCTCACCGGCGTCGAAGGCCTCTCGCAGGAGGAGCTCTTTCTATGGCTTCCAGTCAAAGATATCATCGTCGACGATCCCTCGTCGGGGCTCATACTCATCGACATCGGACTCGCGCACAAGCAACTCTCTCTCTCTCTCTTCGAAGATCCGCCGGACTGCAGCGCCAAAAGTGAGTGTTTTTGTTTCTCCGGCGAGTTTCACCTTCACTGCGTGTTGTTCATAAATCACACTGTCCTTTTGAATTCCTTAATTAATGCTGAGGTGGTGGTGGTGGCTTGTCAGTTGGGTTAATTTTGAAATAACAGAAAATTGAATTTAATACTCATATTTAATTCGGTGGGTTTTTTTGATTTTTTTTTTCCAACAGCATGTCGTTTTTGTAAATAAATGCAGGTGGAGTATTGAAGGTGGCCGCCGGGGAAGACAAGTCATTTGCAGCATGGAGATAAAGAAACTGCTACTTGTGGTTTTTTTTTTTTTCTTTTTTTTTTTTAAATTTTAAAGTAATTTTTTTTAATAGATTATAATGATTAGTTAGTATTTAGGAATTAATATATGTTTTTGGTATTGGGAATCAGATGTCCTGATTATTAGGCTAGAAATGCTAATCTTCTAACTTTTATCGGGTCTATTTTATGGTACCTTGAGCACTTAATTCAGCTAATAATATTCAATCATAATCGTTTAAAACACGATTTATGGTATGCGCTTGTAGTAATTATGAAATTGTATGCTGTTTGTCTTAAATCTTATTTATGTGAAGACTAATTATTTAAATTAAAAATAAATAATAAAAACATGATTTTTATTCCCATGAATGAATACTACAATAGATAATAGTTACCACTAGCCTCTTGGGCTTTGGGCAAATAAATCTGATATGTATTGGTTTTTTCAAAAGAAGGGATGCTAAAAATGGGCCCCATTCTTCACGGATTTGATAATGTTCATTGGATCCATTTAAATTAGAGTTTTTTTCTTTTCTTTTAATTAAATATATATAATAATAGAGAAAAATAAGTGTGTCGAGTAAAGGTGGGCCCCGCACGTGGCATCTGACAGCGGCTGATTGGGCCATGGCTTGGTTATTTGGTCATTGGATCATAATTTTGTCCGGATCATATGTAACACGGTCTTTTTTATCCAAAAACACTGCCCATCATGTGAATCATCAGTTCATGTGCCAAATAAATCTATCACGCCGACTCTCCGATTCCACCACGCCGCCGCCACTGCCTTTCAATGCCACCACCGCTACTTGAGCTTCTGAATCCACAATTTCCGTGTACCGAAAATTGCCGTTGCAACACTTTTTTCTTCGGATTAGAAAAAAAAAAAAAAAAAACAATCCCCACCCACCATTGTCAGCAACCATGCCCCTTGCTCCGTTTTGTGTGATAATTTTTTTTTCATTTCTTTTGAAAATTACTAAAAAACATATTAGGGGTAGTTTAGTCATTTCATATAAGTCAACCATCAATTTTGAAGTAAGGGGCTGTGTGCTTCGTAAAACACAACATAGGGGGTCCTTGCTAATATTTTTAACACGAGGACTTTTTCGGCAATTCGAAATTTCACAGGGGGTTATGTGCAATTAGCTCGAAAGTTTCCATATAATCTTATTCAGTATGAGATGAAATATTTGTTCATAATAAGATCCTGAAATGGAAGAACCGATTGGAAACTGCGGCTAAAGAGATTTCTAAAAGTATATAATTGATATCACATTAGAGATTATGGATTCACAATTAGAAGAGAGGAAAGAAGAACTTAAGGTTTTATTTAAAATCTGAAAAGTAATCCATGGAATTGAGTAATGTGCAGTCTGATTTTACTAATGCAGGTAATACAGAAATGCAATTATTAGCTAAAATTTTACAATTTATTTATCAACAAAAAAATGTATCAAAGAAAAAAGTTATAATCAAATACCGAAATATAACATAACTCTAGGATTTCTCTATGGGCTCAGTTAATGAGTCCAATTACCTTACCTTGTATCGCCAAAGGATGTGGGTTGACCAATTTTGACTTGAATCTATATATATATGTAAATATATGAACACGTGTCATCACGCGCTTGCCCCGAAATTAATCTTTTTATTTATTTGTTTATTTATTATTATAATTACGTCGTTCCAAACTCGGCGCTATATCAACGGCGAGAGAGGCATTTCCTTGTCAAACTCATAAATACAAATTCATTCTGTTACACTCTTCATTTTCTTTTTCCCCAATTAACCACCACCAAATCTGAACAAATGGGAGGCGGCGCGATGAGAGCAGCGGCGAAGGTTGCGGGAATCACGGTCGGGAGCGGTGGCCTGCGTGGCTTCACCTCGTCGGAGCACCACCCGTTCTTCTCCGCCACCCGATCGGCAATTTCTTCCTGTGCTGCGTTGGCGGAAGACGTGAAGCCGGCTGCATCCCTGTCCCTGGGTGGCGTGCAACCACCGTCTCCGGAGACAGAGGACTGGGTTTTCGCCGGCGGAGAAGAGGAGGCGATATTAGGCGAATCCGCCACCACGCAGAGGGTGGTCGTCGGAGGAGCTCCGACTCATCAGGAAGCCAAAGCGGCTACCTCCGAACTCGCCTTCGCGCTTCAAAAGTATGTTCCCTCAATTCTCTCAGTTCAAAATGATTTTTTTTTTTAATTGTTGATCATATTTCTATAGATTAATTTTACGATTTGATAATTAGGTTAACCAATTTTATCTGTTATATTTAATTTTTAGATCATAAGTGTTTGAACAACAATTTTTTTTATTGAAGTTCAGTTGAACTATTGTAGTTGCCACCCAAATCCAAATAATTTCAATTTTGGAATGTCTACAATTTACTGATACCAAATTTCTCAATTTTGAGGAACTATCTATCTAGCTTACAAGCAGAGAAGAAAGCCTCTGAGAATTCCGTTTCACCGGCAGTACCAGCCCATGCTATTAAGGCGTTTACGTTTCTACACGAAAGCACCGCAGCCCAGGTTCGCATCCCCTTTGAGCTTCACATTTTACTATTGGATTAGAGATTTCGATATTAAGATTTCAACCTAAATCGATAAGAAGGCTAATATTACCTGTTACCAATTAGCTTTCGATATGTTAAAATTTAGGCACACAACAAGTGATTAATTATGACATGAAAACCTGTTGCTGTTGTCAGAATGTAGTCGCTTCGATCGCATCCGATCCAAATGTCTGGAACGCTGTATTACACAACCAAGAGCTTCAGAAGTTTGTGCAGTCACAGAATCAAAGTACGATTCTTGCTAACTTTTTTTTTTTAATCTATAGAAACTTAACAAACCACTCGTGATAACAATCATTGTTTGTAATTTCTGTTGAAGGTTTGAGCCGCTCGACCGTGGATCAATCATCTGAATCTGACTACGCAGAATCTGAGGCAGAAGATAGTGCACTCATGGATATTGTCCAAAAGGTCAAGGTTAACGTTGTTGATATGATGAGCAGCTTGTCTGATTACTTCAAAGATTTCTTTGGTCCTCAGGGGAAGGCCACCAGCTTCTTATTTGCACGTGTCAATGGAAGTACTGCTACTGCCGACGCTGTTATGGAAGCTTCGTTTATGGGACTTGCTGTCATGGCTATAATGGTCATTCTTCTCAACCGAGCTTAATCTCATCTTTCAAGTAAAAAAACGGATTTTTTTTTTTTTTTTTTTCGTTTTTTTTGGGTGGAAGTACTATTAAGGTAGGAGACAAGATTTCTTATTATGTGTGTCGTTTTGTTGGTGACGATGAATAATAAGTGTAGTTTTTGTAGGTAAAAAAATAAAGTGCGCTTATTATGGCTTTCAAGAATTGCATAATGCACATCGTTCTATGTTACAGATGTACAGTAATTGGATAACATTTAATTGTCATTCGAAAATCGACTCTTTTGTGGATGTTAGCATGTTTTTGAACCAGTTGACCGATGACTTTGGTATTCTGGTGAGGTTGTTCTTGAAGTCGACATAATAGAGGCCGAATCTAACAGTGTATCCCATGTTCCATTCCCAGTTGTCGAGTAACGACCAAACGAAATAGCCACGAATATCGCAATTATCTTCCCTGCATAAAGAACATGAATCCCATTATTGTAAAACCCTAAAAAAAAATTGGGGTAATTTTGCAGAAATACGACATTTTTACTGTCGGTACTTTATAGCAGCAGATAGGTTTGAGAGATAGTCTCGGTGATAATCTATTCTCTTGTCGTCTCGCAAAGCCTTTTCTAACTCCGCATGAGATCTATTAGGATCATCCATCCCTGAATTTATCAAAATCATAGCATAAGATATTTCAACGGCATTTCATATTTTCGCTTTTGAAAAAAAAAAAAAAAAAATAGAAAATCACCGTTTTCGGTTATGATTACTACTGGATTCCCATACTTGTCTTTAATGTAGTTAGCTAGTTTCCGAATACCCCATGGGACTATATGCAGCCAACGAGATGCAGACTGAAAGAGTGAATCGACATGTAAGAATATTAATTACCAACTGAATTATGTCTGAAAAACTTTTTATCATTACTTACTCGTTCTCCAATGGCGATTCCGTGTTTTGAAGCTATAGATGAAAAAAAATAATAATAATTCAATGCCGATAGATGATTTGCTATTGGAAAATAAAATAAAATTGGAAGTACTATGTTGTTTCGGAATCTTACAGGTGGTAATAACAGCAGAGTCGGATGAGGCATCCTGCATAACGAACTTACGAATTCGAGTTCTATCATTACGTGCATACAACGTAGTATAATGATTTATGCCGACGAAATCCAAAGATCCCTTCAGAAGCTGGGAAGTCTCGTTAGTGATTTTAGGTAATCTTTCAGCCACTAACTTCTGCATCGAAACAGGATATTCCCCAAGTAGAAGTGGATCAAGGAACCTGAACTAGAAAAAATCGTAAATTATCGTTTGTTGTACAAAAAAATATAGTTTCAATTAAAAATTTAATTTTTATTACCATCCGAGTCCGAAATCCAAGGCTCTAGCTGCAGCATCTATATCCTCGTCACTGTCGGATATTGGTTCGTACCACTTAGCATCCAATGTTATCCCGACTATTCCCCCTTGCCTTTCCTGAAATACGAAATTTAATCAAACACATAATTTTATTATTTTGTTTTGTTATTTTTAAATATTGTTGTTATTAATCGTCATAAAAAAAATGAAATACCTTGAAACGAGTCTGATAGGTGCGATAAGCAGCAGCATGAGCCAGTAGAATATTGTGGGCTACTATGTAAGGCTCGACGGAAGATATTCCCGTTTTGCAGATCAAATGTCCGAGGATAGAGCATCTACCGGGGGCCTGGACCCCCAAATCGTAGCCTTGGATTGCGAAACCGTGAGGCTCGTTGAAAGTTATCCAATTTTTCACTCTATCTCCAAAAGCTTTGAAACAGATACAAGCATAGTTTTCGAAATCCTTTCTGCGTTTATTTACATACAAGTTTACAAACATTAAGCTCGATTATTTAGCCCTTCAAATTAATAATAATAAACACCAATAATGCCACACAAAAGAAATGACGCATACACTATTTGGTTGTTCAAGAATCCTCCATATTCGTCTTCAAGAATCTGCGGAAGATCCCAGTGATACAGAGTTGCAAACGGCTGGATTCCTTGCATAATTAAGAGCCGATTTAAAAAAAAAAAATTAAAAAAAAAAATAATGATTAAGATATATGGAAATGCATGCAACTAGTTCGGAAATGATTATACTCGTCGAACCTTTTATAAGTAAAGCATCTATGAGATTGTTGTAGTATTGTATCCCTTGGGGATTGGGTTCCCCTGTTCCATCTGTCGATTATTCGAACATACTAAAAACCGTAAGTGTGATTCGATTACGTGTTAGCCTAATAATTAGGAGGGAATATATAATTAATTTTGGGTAATGCTTGAAGTATTTCTTACTTGGAAGAATTCTCGACCAAGATATGGAGAATCTGTAAGCATCCATACCCAAATCTTTCATCAACTCTATATCACTCTGTCATATGAAGGTTGAAACATCCATTTCACTATATATTATTCTGTCACCAAACATATTCTTATTCTTACACAAGATTTATGTACTATTATTCTTTTGAGTTCATGAAAATGATCAATTGTGCACTCTATAGAACAGTTGCGCGCGCGCACACACACACACACAGATTTTTATAATTAAGCTAATTTGAAATCAAGTAATCCATCTTCATGGATAATAATATTGACCTCGAAACGATGATATTGATCGACGGCGGTGTTTGCATTGCTGAAATCCAATATTCTTCCTGCATTTTTGGAGAAAATAAAAAAAAAAATTATGAGAATATATAAATATATAATTAATACATATTTGCAACATTATTTTGAAAAATAATTAATAAATTAATTAAGATTGGAGGAAAGTAGTAAATAATAAGAACCGGGTCGTTTAATGAAGGTGTCCCAAATGCTATCTCCTTTATTTCCTTCACCAACAGCTCCTTCAAACTGGTAAAACACCAATTAACTAATCATCACTAATCATGATTAACATGTAATTAACATGAAAAAATAAGAGAAAGTTAATTAAACTAAGTACTATATATATAGTGTTGTGGAACCTGGTAAGCAGAAGAAGCAGTTCCAAAAGTGAATCCAACTGGAAAATCAGCTCTGCTAATTGACTGATGATCACACTTCACAGAGAAGAAGAAGAATGGCAAAGCAGAAAAAAATAGTACTAAAATGGCAGCTGCAGCAGCCATTGATGAATTTAACGTTGTTTGATCGTAGGAAGAATGTATGGCTAATTAATTGATTAGCTCATTAAATACTATGTTTGTTGTTGCTTTATTATTACAAGTATATATTGTATAATGGAAGGATGAATTTTGGAAGCAAAGTAAAATAAATAAATAAATAAATGGATAAAAATTGAGGGATTTTTGTGTTGCGGTGTGGGATTGGGGGAGCTCTGAAGTTGGCGGTGTCTTAAGGAATCTCTGCCTTTTGCTTACACGTTATATATATATATCAAGCTGCCGATTGGAATATATACACATTAATTCTTTTTTTGTCAATTGTTATAATATCAATATTTCATTAATAATATTCGGATAAACTACGGCCATAACCCTGAGGTAATCTTAAATTACGAAACAACCCCTCTTATTTAGGTAACTATGATATTACTCTTCAACTATGAATCTTCTCCATCCTTGCGGTGTCAGATTTAGTGAAATCTTCTAGATTATGTGGAATATTCTCTAATTTGTACCGCATTCGAGCTCCACATTTTGAAACAAGATGATCATAAGATGTGTCTGTTATCTTATAAGTATCAGATTATAGTGCATTGAAAACTGTATGTTTGCACAAAATGAGTATAAACTAGAGAACAATCCACGGAACTTAGAAAATTATGTTGAATTTGACATTATAAAGGCAGACGTGTAGGAAGATTCATAGTTGAAAGGGGTGGTTGTAATTACCCAAACATCGGGAGTTTTTTTTTCTCCATAATTTAACCTTACTTCATGGGGTGACCATAATTTACCCAAAATATTATTGTTAGCACCGAAAAGCAAATCAAATCACCCAGTACTCGATTGGAGATTGATCGATAAAAGTTTGCTTGAACTTGATTTACCAACACAGTGTACTAAACTTTAACATATATTTACTTTTAGTAAGCTATATCCGAAGTTGAGTTTGCACTGGAGCTCGATTAGTAGGAAAATAACAAAACATGTATAAAAATATTAACCACTGAAATTCGATTTGTTCGACTCAATTAAAGTTTGTTTGAACCCGACTCGATTGTTTCCAAAACCAAACTCAAATATAAAGTCCAATTTTTAATTTTTTTAAAAAATATCGAACTAAGTCTGAATGAACTTGCGTTCAACTCGATCAGATTCGTTTACACCGTTACCCTACTATGAATAAAAAACTAGAAATGAGCAGTATTTGAACGCTAGATTTTAAATTTAATACTAATAAAAAAAATAGGTCTAAATTGGGATGCATTCATGAACCTTGTGATGTGTAAGGATGGAAGAAGATAACCACATTCATTAGTTAATTGGAGTGTTTATCTATCCACATTTCATTGGTTGAATCCTCCTCTATTTGGCTACTTGGCTACTTCTTTTTTAATACATTTCACGAGTGCCAACTGCCGAAATGTATTACACAGAGAGAAGAAACGTGTGGATTAACAAAGATTAAGACAAATTAATTCTTTTTAAATAAAATATTATGTCCAAAACGATAAGCATGCATCTCTATGTACACTCGGAAGTTCTTGTATTTTAGTATTTTACCGTATTGCTATTAATTTTGAGGCACAAAGGTGTTGCATACTTGCATGAAATAGCGTATACGAAAACCCATCTCACTGAATTTCAAAGTAAACCTGAGATTCAGTTGGGTCGGTCGATCACTGGTTTGATAAATCGATCCATTCAATAAACTAATATTTGCCAAATTTAAAACCAATATAGGGACGGTTGATGATTGATAATCGAATATTTAGTTACGAAATAGGTTGGTTGATGTGTGTACCGCCATCTAATTCACTTTAAAAACAAATCAAAAATTTGATTTAAAAATATGCATATTATGCGTATGTGCCACGTCGCCACCATCATTTATCTGTTGAAAATAATTAATAGCAATTCAACAAAAAAAAAAAAAAAATACAATTTTGATATTCGAACTCAGTCTAAATACGCACATTCTATTATAATATCATACTGTCATACTCATTTATCAGTTCATAATAATTACAATAATTAAAACCAAATAAAAAAAAGCTATTTCTAAGTTCAAACTTTAGTGCCAATATTACCAAAAAAGAAAAAAAACAACGCCTTTAATTTAGAAACTAAAAATATTTAATAAAATTTTATTTGTATAGTTGGTTGACCGATAGCTATTGGTAAGCGTTGAATTTCGCCAAATTAAACAAGACAAAAATAAAAGGTTAAAAAAGTAAAATAAAAAGTAAATACATTTTGAAGCTTGATTTGATGGCAATACCGTAATAATCTAATAGATGGATGATTTTGGGCTTAATTTTCTTCAAAGAACAATTAGAAGTAGTTTTAAAATTTAATCCCAATAGTAATTAACAATTGGGCCGAAGAGGAGTAGAAGAAACCGGTAATGAGTAAGGCCCATTAATCCAACCAAGAAAAGCCCCTTTAGCAAACCCTAATTTCCAGCACAAATAGGTCTGCCCTAAAAGCCATATATCTATCTATCTCCCCCATTTCTCACTTCACCACTCTCCCGCCGTCCTCCTCCGCACCACCACCAAAACCCTAAACAGTTCTACAGAAATGGGTCGCGTTATCCGGGCGCAGCGTAAGGGAGCGGGTTCCATCTTCAAGTCACACACCCACCACCGCAAGGGCCCGGCCCGCTTCAGGTCACTCGACTTCGGCGAGCGCAATGGCTACCTAAAGGGAGTCATTACCGAAATCATCCACGATCCCGGACGCGGCGCGCCGCTTGCACGCGTCACCTTCCGCCACCCGTTCCGCTTCCAGCACCAAAAGGAGCTTTTTGTCGCCGCCGAGGGCATGTACACCGGGCAGTTCATATACTGCGGTAAGAAGGCGAATCTGGTCGTTGGAAACGTTCTTCCGCTCAGATCTATTCCGGAGGGAGCTGTTGTTTGCAACGTCGAGCACCACGTTGGGGATCGTGGCTCTTTTGCTAGGTGCTCTGGTGACTATGCTATTGTCATTTCCCACAACCCTGACAATGGCACCACTAGGTATATATTCATTTCCCCCTTTCATGTACTTGAATTAATTGCCATGTTCTCTAATTTGACTTAGGTTTGTCCGTTTTGGTGATTTGGGGTAATTTTGTTTTTTGATTTGTAGATTTATTTCAGTGTTCATGTTTCGTACTCTGTCTGCTGTGATAAATTTTTGCTTTTGCACTGAGGATTGAAAGGATTGTTAACATTGATTGAATTGGATAATATTATGCTGTACACGATTATGTATTATGTTGTTATTTTATTTTTGTGATTTATAATAGGGGCTGGTGTGACTCAATATCATTCATATGCTTAATTAAAATTCCCGGTCCTGTTTTTAATGCATCTTGAAATATGAACACCAAATATTTGATTCATTTAAATGTTTATTGATTGTTTGTTCCCATATGATTGTGAATTTGCACCTGTTGAATTTATATGAGCACTGTAATGTTGTGAAATGGGCATAGCTTGTTGAAATGGACAAAAGCAATCAATATTTTTGTATGCAACTACTATATGGTTTCATTTATGTGATGAAACGGTTAAAACTGTTTTGGGCGAACCGAACTTTTACTTATTATAATCGATCATTATTTGTTCTATGGTGTCACTTCATTTTGCATAACTTTTACTTATTATAATCGATCATAATTTGTTCTATGGTATCACTTCATTTTGCATCTGTGTGCTTCATATATTATTACTTGTCAAACCACATTAGATCATTATGTTATTATTGTCGAATTTATAGTTCTTACTAATTGTTTAATATTGGCAGGGTTAAGCTCCCATCTGGAGCCAAGAAGATTGTGCCAAGTGGCTGCCGTGCCATGGTTGGCCAAGTTGCTGGCGGTGGAAGGACAGAGAAGCCCATGTTGAAGGCTGGAAACGCCTACCACAAATACAGAGTCAAGAGAAACTGCTGGCCTGTGGTGCGTGGTGTTGCCATGAATCCAGTGGAGCATCCCCATGGTGGTGGTAACCACCAGCATATTGGTCACGCCAGTACCGTTCGTCGTGATGCGCCACCTGGGCAAAAGGTTGGTCTCATTGCTGCCAGAAGAACTGGTCGTCTTCGTGGTCAAGCTGCCGCCACTGCTGCCAAGTCCGACAAGGGTTCTTAGACTCTTAATATTTAGTGATGGAGAATTGGTTTTTGTTGCTGTCTTTTATTCGGATTAATATGAATTATGTTTTGCATGTTCAAACTCTATGTTCTTATTTTGAGGATATACTCGGTTTTGTTTGGAATCTTGATATGTTTAAGTTTTATTTCAGTACTTGTTTGAATTTTGTTGAAGTTTAGCATGTATTTTCCTCTCTTATCTTTTCTGTATTAAAATAGATTGTTTCAATAAATATTATTAATTCTAAAAATTATCATATAGAATTTGCTTTATCTGCTGATAATTTAGAACCTAAGACAATTAGTTTTATAGAATTGTATCCCAAAAAGAAAATAAGATGTCAAGCTTTTTAGAATTATAAAGAATTGCTGTCTTCTAATGTTTACACTGATTTGTGAGTTTTGAATATTTGAGCAAGTTTAATTATAAACCTTTAATGATATAGATAATATTTTTAGTATTATACATTGGGTAAATTACCTCTTCAACTATAATTTTTTTTATACGTTTACCATTGCGGTGTCAAATTTAGTGGGATCTTCTAGATTATGTGCGATATTCTCCAATTTGTACCCGTTTTACCCCTTCGACCTCAACATTTTGAAACAAGATTACCATAAGATGTGTCTATTAGCTTATAAATATTAGATGGTGGTGCATCAAAAACTGCATCTTTGCACAAAACGAGTATAAACTAGAGAACATCCCGCGAAATCTAAAAAATTCTGTTAAATTTGACACCATATAAGTGAACATGTAAGACAATTTGTAGCTGGGTGGGGTGGTTGGAGAAAAAGAAACATGTTCAGCATTTTTCGTAAAACTCAGCCCGATGAGGGTGAACAACTAGAAACGAGTTCAAACTCAGCTCAACAGAAAACTCAAGCCCAGTATGGTAAATTAAAAAATAAAATAGAGACGGAATCTACAATGCAAGAAAACTTCCACACACACGCGTTTCCACGTTTCGAAAACCGAAACACCACGGCAAGTGCACGTCGGAAATGTTTTGTGGGAATAACAACTTCGAATCTACCTTCAGACGGAAGCCCATTAATCTTAATGACGCATGGGCCGATCTACTATGGGCTAATTAAAGCCCATATAGTTGTCGGTACTATTATTATAGCCAATTTCTTGCGAAAAATGCAACATTTCCAATTTCTGAAGGAAATCTCCCTTAAACCCTGGCCCCCATTGACGCATAAAAGCTAAACCCCATAAAATGGCGATGAGAACGGCGGCGACTAGAGCGGCGGCGACGGCCACATCTCAAAGCGGACTTAGGGCACTGTATTCATCTTTTTCGAACTTCCCCTTCAATCAGCCCCAGGCTAAAGTTGAGAAGCCTCCTCCCGCCGAACCCTCCACCAATCTCTTCGTCTCCGGTAATTTCTATGATCTCTAAACACAATTAAGTCCTAATCAGATACTAATCTCTATGGTAAATGAATGATTCGCCTCTGAAACCTAAGTTCATAATGTTTTTATATGACTTTGGGTGCTACGGCGGAATGTTAATTTATTTATTTTATTTTTATTTTTAATGTCAAATTGCAATTTTTAATTTACTGGTGGGTGTGTAACATGGAAGAGTGTTCTACTCGCATTTTTCTGCTGTTAGTGTTAATGGTAGCCATTACAATATTGATGAGATTTTCTGCAATTCGTGTGTTGGATGCATTTTTATCCGTTGCTATTCTAAATAATGTTCGTTTATTTCGGTCGCCGTCGTAAGATTTGTTTGGTATGGTGTTTAGGGCTTAGCAAGCGTACTACAACAGAAGGGCTCCGTGATGCCTTTGCTAAATTTGGTGCTGTGGTCGACGGTATTTTCTCTTTCCTTTTCTTGTTAACATTTGGGACTGTAATTTGAGATTTTGAAATAAAAGAAAGAAAATAAAAATGAGTGAAATTGGTTGACGTCGATTTTCTTTTTCGCAGCTAGAGTGGTGACTGATCGTGCATCTGGCTACTCAAAGGGTTTCGGTTTTGTTAGATATCCGACTATAGATGAAGCTGCTGAAGGGATCAAAGGCATGGATGGCCAGGTCAGCTTTATATTTTACCAACTTTTTTTTTTTTTTTTTTAATAATATATGCTTCTTGCTGTTAGAAGTTAGAACTATGTTTTAGACAAATAATTAAAATCACTAAAAATACTTACGTTTTGGTACCAATTCGAGAGAGTGGGTTTACGAAGTAGTTGGCCATTTATTTGATTATCTTGAGTCTCGGCTATCATTTCCGATTTTCGACTTTCACCTTTTGTTTGGTGACCACAAACGATGCCCTTCCATATATTTACTCTTGTGATTGATTTGGTCGTCTAAATTAGCATTGTATTTCTTTTTTGTTGTTTAATATTATTATTATGTTGCATAATTTGTTTTGTAGTTTTTGGACGGTTGGGTTATTTTTGCGGAATACGCAAGACCGAGAGCTCCTCTTCCGCCTATAAACAACGGATCTCCTCAGGGGCAATGGTGATTCAAATCCCACGTAATAAAGATGCAATTCTTTGAGCCAAGCTATTATTTATTTTCGAATTATATGTGTTTTTGTTATCAAATTATAGATAAACTAGAGTGTGATGATTAGGTTGATATTTGGATATTCTTGCTGTATTCATAATGAACTGCTTCATGACATGAACTTACCTTTCACCATTATATGTTGATCTTCATAACTTATATTCTTGTGCTAGTGAGATTAATTAGGTCATAAACATGGTTTAGTCATTGATCTTTACAATTAGTGCATAAACCACCAAGGAGTACGAGATGGTGGTTGACATATTTGCCCTTTTGATCTTTAGTGATAAATATTTCAATCATCTTCGTGTGTCAGCCCAAAAAATTAGGAAGAATAGATATGCTTACGCAAAATTATCTGGTGTATTTCATCGAGTGTAATATTTACAATACCCTTGTGCATAATATACTAAAAGAAAATGAGTAATTGTCTTTAATCACTCAAATAATATTTCTTTTGGTTAGTTATGATTAATTAAATAATTCGATATTATAAAATGTTATCTAGTCCCAATATTTGTATGCTCTAAATTTACTTATCTGAGAAATTATTTATTGAACGATCCAATAAATATTTGGCTAATCTTATGTTTGACCAAAAATTAATATCAAATTATTTCTCCCTCCACCACTAAAACTGAGAGCATGATTTGGTGGCGCATGAATCACCTTGTTCAAGATAGCGACAACCCTGGCCCACCCTATTTATCTAAATAAAATAATAAATAAATAAATAAAATCTCTAGATACGAGTTTGCAGAAGATAACCAATCCGATTTCCGATCAAAACATCGAAATGAAATGCACACACGAAAAGAAGAGAAATAACAATTAGCTATTTAGAAGCTCAATTTTATTTCTTCTCTCTTCTTTGTGTGTGTGTGTGTGTCAATGTAAAAATAATAATTAATATGAAGTTTTTCTTTGAATTCATCTCGTGCTGCGGCTCATTCTCGGCGGGGAAGGAGGAGAAGAGATTGCTCGTACCAGCGCCGGAAAATCGCCGCCGCGTATGGCGTAGGAGATCAGGGCGGTGGAGGGGTGGCCGCCGCCGTGAATGGCGGCCATCTCTGTCGTCGATTTCGGAAGATAATGTGTTGGTGGCTGAGAGGATCATCAATAACGGGGAACGGCCGGCGGAGAGATGGCGGAGAAGCCTCAAGGGGAAGGTTTCCTCCTCCGTGCCGCGGAGAGCTCGTTCCCTAGATAACTATCCTGTCAGGTAATTAACAACACGATCTCTAATTTTTAATTTGATTTTGGTAATATTCGAAATGCAAAAATTGTAATTCAGTGAGTTAATATTGTAATCCAACTTGAGTCAGCTAGATTGGATGCCGTATGACAAATTTGTGCATGAACGGTATTATTAAAGCTCTAAAGACATCTATCACATCCCTTATAATAATTGATTTTGTAATTTCGAGTATGATATATTTTGTGGAATAAAATCATGGATTTGTTTATTTTCAGACGAACGCAACTCATCATGCCGCCATTCGCTCCGATGCCGTTTATGTTTTGACGCGTTTCCAGGCAGTTTGCAGTTATGCACATATACCACAAAAGAAATTGTCTTCGTACCTGGAACAAGGAATTTGTACAGCATTTCTAACTTAGTTTCTCTTTCATTGGGATCCTCCTGTATTTCTAATGATGTGTGTATGTGCAGGTTTTTTTTTTCCAAGATTTTTTTTTAATGTAAAAATTCCTATTCAATGACCAATGTACAATGTATCGAAATTTCGTTTCTTTAATCTGATAACGAAATGTTCTCTCTCAAAAGTCTAAATTATTAAGAACACTTGAAAGTTGAAACGTCTTTCACTTAAAAAGAAAATGTGGTAAGAATTTACCACTAATTTATTTATTTATTTTTTGGTCAATAAACAGCTAATTAAACACATTAATACTACATTTTTCGTTTTTCAAATCAAAAGAACAATTAAATACAAGAATCAAGAACCCAACTGTTAACATGTCACATAAACGAAAGTCTGATACTACATCTAGTTATTTACTAGCCTAAATGGATTTCAAATCTAGATGTCATTAAATAACCATTCACTCAGCGCAGACATACACACGAGTGTGTGATTATATATCGATCGACAGTTGAAATCCACCAAATGTAACGTAAATAACCAGGTGTAACATCTAAGTCAACTCGAGTTCAAGCATCGCCTTCTCCCTCCTCAATTCCGGCCATGGTATCATACAACGGCCTATTCAAAGTCTCCGGCAGAAAAAACGCCAACACACCTCCGACAATCCCACACACCCCAAAAACCAGAAACGGAACCCTCTCCCCTAAAACCACCACCACCGGCGCCAGAATCGCCCCCATCTGCGCCGCCTGAGTCGCGCACCCCAACGCCGCGTTCCTCACCACCGTAGGAAAAAGCTCCACCGTGTAAATAAACAGCAAATTGTAAGTCCCCGCCATCCCAAATATCCCCATTACACTACAAACCATTCTCGCCGTCTTCCCCACTCCGAACGCCTTTATCAAACCTCCGACCAAGCAAAACCCCCCGCTGAACCACTGCGTCCCGATGGCTAATGGCTTCCGTCCGTACCTGTCGAGTAAGATCGCCGTTAAAAGAAACGCCGGCATCTCCGCCACCGCGTTGAGGAAAACGCTCAGGTAGATATTCGTGCCGAGATTCACCACGTTTAAACTCAGCCCGTAGTAGACAATCGAGCAGAAGAAATTGATAGAAACCGCGAGTAGAAGACGGATCCGCGTCAACGGCGACCGGAGCACGTCCAGAATAGATCCGCCGGCGATTTCTTCCTCATCCTCCTCCGCCGCCTCCGATTCGTTTCCGGTTTTCCCGTTCGCGTCCTCGTCGATGGCGAGGGTTACGCCGTCGTCGGGGAGAAAGTTTCCGTTCAATTCGGCGATACTGCGCATGGTTTGCATGGCGAGTCCCGTTTTGCCCCTGATGAGGTACCACCTGGGTGACTCGGAGACGAAAGGAATGAGGACGAAGAAAAGGAAGAGGATCGACGGAATGGAGGTGGCGAGATACAGCGACCGCCATGATCGGAATAAATAGGCTATGCCGGAGAGGGCGGCGATGCCGCCGGAGAAGAAGTAGAAAGTGGACATTCCGGCGACGCCGCGCTTGGATGGTCCGACGGGCTCGGTGGCGAGGACGAAGGCGCAGAGGCCGACGCCGCCGGTGCTGAAACCGGTGAGGAGGCGGAGGAGGGCGTAGATCCAGTAGTCTGGAGAGAGTGACGTCAGACATCCGAAAATGGCGTTCAAGAGGCATACTACTATTAGAGAGCCTTTCCTTCCCAGTTTTGAATCTGAAAGGTGGCCGAATACTCCAGCACCTTATAAAACAAATTACATATACCAACAAATATTTTTAATTATTTAAATAATTATGATTTGTATTAATGGATAATTAGTTGCACTATCTAGTTAATTAAAAGTTGCACCATCTAATTTTATTTTATATTCATTCAATACACAAAAGTAGAACAATTTTAAAAAAAATTTAAATTACACCCACACCCTCGAGGTACGCTTAAATAACTTTAAGGTCTCTGTGGAATCGATAATTACACTCACCCCCTGAAATGTAGTTAGAAACTCTAACGAGATAATGCATTGGATGCATTATTCCGATAGGGTTCTAATGGACTATTACTTTTAGCTAGTGGTGGAGGTAACATAGAGTTATGGAGAGTTATGTAGTGACATGGCTCCCCCAATATTTCTTAAATCACTCGTAACTCTTTGTTGTTCTCCACCACTTCCTGAAACCAATAATCCGTTAGAACTCTATCGTAATAACATATCCAATGCATTATCCAATTAGAGTTTATAACTACGTTTCAAGGGAGTGAGTGTAATTATCGATACCTCAGGGATCTTAAAGTTATTTAAGCATACCTCAGAAGTGTGGGTGTAATTTACCATAAACAAAATAGTTGAAAACAGAAAAAATGAAGGCAATAACAGAAATTTTGTTAGAGAAAGCAAAATATAAATGGATAAGTTGTTTCAATTGGGAAGATGATGAAAAAGTAGTCAAGAAATCCGGCCAGGCAGTTCTTGATTATCTTTTGTGATGTTATCAGTGGCACGTTAATCTTATAATATAAGACAAATTAAATAACAAAAATACCGATTCAGTTATGTAATGTCTTTCACGTTCAATTTTAGGCGATTAAATTTACCTTCTGAATATTAAATTTACCTTCTGAATGAAGAGTTTTTTCGTTAAAAAAAAATACGTAGCTGAAGTATAATTGTAATTACGTAAATAAGAGATATTTTTTTGATCATTGCCCAATAGTATATTATAAAATTTATTTTGGGATTTGATTCATTTTATTGTTGTCAATAAATTTTGTTTTAAAAGCTAATGCTACTACAATTTATGCCTCGTTATCTTTTGGAGTTTGAATTAAAAAACTTTCAGAATATTAATATAGTCCTGACAGGTCAATTTCCAATAATCATGCAAATAATCATTAAAAATTCCCACAAGGTACGTGTCAATTAACTCGACAATCATCACTCCATTAATTACAAAAAAACAATTGAACTTGGATAGACACGTGTATGTGCATACATATCTATAGTTTGATTAATTTTATATACTGAAATATTAATAAATTAAAAACATTATCCTAAATTATATATATTAAAAAAACATTTATATTAGTGATAATTAATTAAAGTTCTTAATTACGAGTTTTAAAGTAATTAACGACATATTCATCGATCGGTAATCCTAGATTCTAGAGAGAGAGAGAGAGAGAGGATAAGAGAAAAAAAAAACTGACCTATCATGCAGCCGCCGAAAAACAAGGCCTGCACCAACCCCACCTTGTATTTCTCCGAACAAATCAATCCAAACTCCGCCACCGTCGAGCTTCCTCGGCCGCCGGCCCACTCCCACGAACCGGGTTCCATCCCGCACACGCTCTTCGCCTCGGGCGAGCAGCCTCCGGCGGCGGCGCCGCCTGCCGTGCACCGCCACGACGGTTCACGGTCGGCGAATATGACGACCATGGTGTGGAAGGCCTCGAGCGCCCACGCCATGTTCGTCAGCACGAAGTGCCGCAGCTGCCACCACCCGAACTCGCCGCAGTATTTCTTCAGCATGTCGTCTATGCATAGCCTCTCCATAGAATCTTTCTCCTCCGCCACCGCCGGTACTAGCAGCGGCGAACGGAGGTCCGGTTCGAAGGGAACCAATGATTCGGGATTCTTTGAGTTTTTCGACATTTTCCGGTTCGTTTTTGGTATAGAGGAATTTTGGGAGAATAAAATAAAATAGCGTTTATCGCTTTATATGTATAAGTAGGAGCTGAGCTGGAAAATGACTGTTGGTTATTTAAAATGGGTATATTTTAATCATTGGACTCTATCGCTGGTAAAGTGACACGTGGATGAAATCCAGCCGTTGTTCTTCTGTCTTGTTTGGATGTCGAGATTGCTATTTGGGATAAAGCAAATATTGTTTGAGAAGATATTATATTTATAATACAATGGAAGTAATATTCCTAGGAATATATGAAGGTTCTAAAAGAGGTTCAGTTTGATACTTATGGTGGCTAGCAAGTGCCTACGTGGCAATATGGGAAATACCTTTGTACATGGGATTAATTAGAGAAAAGGAAAAATTAGATATTGAATCTAAAATTTGGATAACGATTTACAAAAAACAAACTCATTGAAAAGGAGATGTACGTCAAACGATTTTGTAGATGTTACACTCGATGAAATATACTCTGTAATTTATAATCATTGGTTTACATATAGTATAACACACACTCCTATATGTATATGTGCTTAGTGTTTATTTATATAAACCTATGGTAAAAAACGACCAGATGTAGCATCTCCTAAGTTTATTGCAAACCTACCGTGATGATTTATTTGAATATAAGTTAAGGATTTGAAACCACTAAGTAGCAAAATTACCTAAATATTAGTCTAATGAACTACCCGTGAGATCAGCGGCAAAGCCATAATTTCATTATCGGGGGTCGAATATACACCAAAATTATGTAAATAAAAAAACTTATATTTAGTGACAACAATAATTTGTTTCAAGAGGGGCGAGTTTAGGATTCTAATATAGGGTGAGTTTAAATAATTTTCATTTTTTAATGTTAAAATTTGTGTGTGACAAAACAAATTAGGGAATGATTTCCATGAATATATAATACAAGGTGAATTTCAAACCTGTTACAATAATTAAAATATATTTTGAAGGTTGCTGATTAAAAATCGCGGTGTATTTATTTAGTTTCAATTTAGGATCAAGATCATATATTAATATGGTATTGGGCCAGATCCCATTATTTGTCATCTTTATAATGGGCCTATTATGCTGATTAGGTCCAAACAAGAATTAAGCCCCTTAATTTTTTTCAATAAAAATAATAATAAATACTCTCTCAATTCTCACAAGTTTAAAATTCGCCTGGTCTTTAACATAACAATTTTATTTGCTAAGATAGTAAACGAAGTAACGTAATTTAAATAGAAAGATATATATAAGTATATAGTCACAACTTTTAGGGTCCGATTACTAGCTAGTTCCTCGATTTTTAATTCTAATATAATTCTTTAATCTCCTCCTATAATTATTACAAAGCTCATTAATCAGGATACGTAATATTATATTCTTTGAGTTCTCACAAGCTCTTAGTTTCTCTTTTCACGATTTCTGACTTGAGCGTCAGAAAGTTCTCGCCTAAAAGTGAGATTACGTTACTCGTATTTAGGTTTAATTTGTGTGTAAGAAAATGTGATTTATTAATTTGTCCAAGAGAATATTCCGTCACTTTCAATGTTCCAACCGTTTAACGTTTGCTAAACATGTTTTAGTAATTCTATGATCCAAATCTAACACGGCTTTTATGACATGGACTTGACATATATATAAAATGACCCTACTTATTTCGACAGATCATCACATATAAATATTCAATTGAATTATATATATATATATATTATATTCAATTGCATTATATATATTTGTTAATTTAATGATGTAAAAGATATAAATTTTCGAACATTATATTTATAATAGACAAAAAAATTCTATCGACTAATAATGTTAACAAAATATTGTTGCATGATTTTTTAAACATGTTTGATATCATCTTATAAAAAATTTACGAAATAAATATTTAATTAAATTAATCAAATAACATTAATAGTATGTCGATAAAAAAATTTAGAAAAAAAACTCAATATTAGTAATTTATAAAAAAATCTGGGGGAGGACCACGACATTAATTTAAATGAGGACTTTTCCAGCAATTAAACATTACACAAGGGAGGTCTGTGCTAAATGCTAATACCTCCCGGAAATTAATTATGCAGAAAAAAACAACACAATTTAATCAGTAATAAGCAAATTACGCACACATTCAATTAATCGAAAGAGGCTCAACGAGTACACTTTTTATAATCTCTTTCGTCTTCGTTTTGGAGTTGGTATATCCATCTTCGCCACTGTAGAGAAGATCGATCAGACGAGTGAGATTAAGAACACGCAAAACGATTGGGAGATCGGAGGCCGTAGTACTAATGCACTCTTTATTTATATCCTTCCTTGCTGTCTTCACTTGCTTTCCAAGCTCCGCAATAGCTTCCGTTTTCGAGCAACCGTTTTCCTTCATGTAACAATCCACTGCTGATATTTTCTCTTCACACTTTTGTACAAAAAAAATATCATTCAAAATTAAATTACTACAATTCAAATATTTATAATTCCAAACATTAAATTTTAATTAGTGAATTATAATTACACTATACATTATATTACCTCATATCCTACGATGTCGTCCATTAATCTGGCGACGGTGCTTGATGCTCGTACGATCAACGGTTCAGATGTGATCCAATCAAAGTGTTCATTTGTGACTGTATTTTCGTCCATACCAACCAACGATAGCGTAGACGCCATCATATATCCAGCGCTTACGAGTGACACCTTCATGTACTCTTCCATCGTACTTGGCGTGTAATTACTGTAACACCATTTCGCTTCTTCCAAATATGCCCTCATCAGTTTTTTCATCTGCATGCAGCAAATTGCATTTTTAATCGTTTCCACCCGAAATATTCAATTATATATTGTAGCTATATGTTCGGTATTGATCAAGATTATTACCTCTTCATTAGCATAGTGGAGACGGTATGATGTGCCTATTTTTGTCATTTCATCTTCAATCTCATCATAAACATCTAAGAGGGCTCTGGAATATATTCTCATATACTGATCGAGGCAATTGCTCCAATGCAGTAACATCCCAACTGGAAATAATAATTATGATAAATATATTAAGCAAAAAAAAAAAAAAATTGGGACGAAAAATCGAATAATATCTAATTATTTGCTAATAATTAATTAGATTATTATTATTATAAAGTGAGTTTTTTGAGATGCAAATTTAATTGATCTGAGTACCTTTGGATGAAATCAGTGAAAAGCTCGAGTTCGTCTAGGGTTCCGTGGACATCGTAAATATCGTCAGCAATCGAAGCCAAAGCAATTATTTTGGTTAGTATTGTTCTTGCAACATTGTATTTCGGCTCGAAATAGACTGCTAATATCCAAAAATAGCATTCCACCATTCTATCTCTTGCAAATGGCAACTTATTTGCAAAGTCTAAATCCTTCCACCACCTACAATCATTTCAATCTTTAACTAATTCAAATGCAAATTAATTAATTAAATTACACTATACATGGTGTAATAATAATAATAATAATTAATTTGTTGTTACATCGGCATGTTAGTTGAACTACGTACCTAGTAAGATCGCCGAGCTCTTTCTGATGTATCTTCTGTACGATGTTGAAGTCCAATTTCGCGAAGTTCAGCAGTGTTTTATCGTGGGATTCGTTTTCTTGGTAAATAGAAATGAATTTCCTGGCTCCCAATCTAATCACGCTTTTGTGAATTGGGTTATCCAAAGCCTCACTAACTTGTTTAGCAAGATAAATATTATTGTTCTTTTGATCGACCAAATACGACTCGAGAAAAGACGTGCAAAACGAGATCGCTTTGTCGAGAATATCCTCACCGTCTATCGCAAGATGAGCCGCCTCGTATAAGCTTAAAACCCCTTGCACATTATTTGCTGTTATTGACTCCTTGAAATCCCCTTCTTCGTCGATGAATTTGTTGAACACATCTGTTAATTAATTAACGAACAGATAATCAATTATTAACCATGCATGGTTAGAGATTTATCACACTAATTAATATTAATGTCATTATAGTCTAAAACAATATTAATTTAATTTTAAAATCTCACCACATGGCACATGGTGACCTTGTTGTCTAAGCAAACGAAAACGAAGAGCAACAAAATGGAGATCGTTATTATTGATGTTGTCCTCGCCGCCATCGTACATGCGGCGCAAGGATTTTTCGATTTCGTCTTCGAAATGATAAGCCACTCCTAGCCGTTGGATTGCATCAATGAGTTGCAATTTATGAACTAATGAATCATCTTCCATTTGTGCTGCCGTCAGCAAATTCCTCACCGTTTCTTTCTGTCTTTCGAGCTCTTCCTTTTCCGGAACAGATATTTCCTGCATATAATTTATAATTAATTACAGATTAATTACTGGCAACATATATTAAGAAAAGAATAATAATATAAGGCTACTAGCCAATGCATCAATACTACTGGAATTGTAAAGTGACAGAAAATAAGGAAAAAGGTAAAAATCTCTAAAAACGACAGTTAATTAGCAAACAACGAAGGAAAATATATAAGTTAATTATAACATGCAACACACTACCGAAATAATTATCGCAAAAACGAGTTCTGAAAAAATAATTACGGTAATTACATGAGAAGTGTATCTGAGAAAATGGTTTCCCCAAACAGATGGATGATACGTGACGGATCGACGAGCATCTGATATACGACATCGATTAATATTGTTTGGTGGTGAGGTAGGAACAGCTGATGTAATATTCAATGGATACATTATTTCTTATTATAACTGGAAGAAGTATATATAAAAGCAAAGAGAGAGATAGATAGTTGTTTTGGTACGATGTAGTATTTGTTTTGCTGCTATTTATAGACCATGTACTTGGAAATCCAGATGCAGTACTTTTAATTAATTTATTTTCACAAACCCTAATTTTCGAAAACAATATTATATATATAATTAGTCAGAGACGCTCTAAATTAAACATTAATTAGTTAGTGGTAAGTTGGCCTGCTTGATTATGGATTAATGTGCTCAGGGGCGGTACTTGCAAGGGGTAGGGGTTGTTGATCCACCAAGAAAAACAAATTAGATATTTGGTATTTTATTTTTTGAATATTACTTTTGGCCCCCCAAAGTTTTTGTAAATATGTGTCTTAACTCTTAATTATTATTTTTTTAGTTTCTTCTCCATAATCTTATATAAATTATAGATAAATATATCATATTTAATACAAAATATAAAATAAGATGCTTAAAACTTGCATTGTTTTAAATAAAATTTATGAATATTACTTATTTTTGAATTTTTTTTATCAATGCCTTGAGATTGTGCCATGAATCCCCGAAATATTAAGTGCAATACATTATTAGAATAATTTGAATTAATTTAGAATTTTCTGTGATGATTAAAATATGATATAATTCTAATACATATGATATTTTAATTAAAAATTAGTAATATAAACTTATTTTTTTACAATGTTTTGTGAACCTAAATTTCTTTATCTACTTAGATATTTTATTAATTAATTAAAATTTCTTAATTTTGTTTCTAATTATAACTTACGTGTCTGAATCTTGAAAAACTTACAGATGCATGCATGATGCAGAAACTGGGGTTGTACAGTATTTTCTGGTGAATATTATAAGACATCGTGAAATATTTTTTTTGAATAATCTCATGTAAATTACAATATTTATTTTTTCTTATCCGAATCTTGTATTAGAAGGTTATTCGATCATATAATTAATAGTTTATATTAAGTGCTGGGGTTTATAAGTATTGTACGTACGTACGTACATGCATGTGTGCTGAAATTTGAATCATTTTCTCTAATTAACCTAAAACTTCTGAACATTTGTTAAATTATTTTTAGAATATCTATCAATAAAAATTGTATTTTACGATCATTGATCAGTTATAAAACTTTTTAAAATTTCCTAACAATTTGTAAAAAAGCGATTTTGAGGAGGATCGGGGGAGGCAGATGAAAGTAGCGAAGACCGGTTTTTTGGTAGTGGAATGAGGATGAAGAGGGCTTTAATTGTTTTTGAAAATATTATGACTTAATTGAAATTTTGAAAGTTTTATTTTGGGGTGAATTTGTAATTATCAAAAAATTTAATTGAAAGGGTATGAGGTCTTTTCAAGTATAAAAAAAAAAAAAAAAAAAAAAAAAAAAACCCTTAGTCGCATATATGGCGAGTGGGCGAAGCGCACTGCGCACGATCAACTTGTAAGGGCCTCATGAATTTAACAAACTTTCACGTGGGGCACTTGCTAATTCTTTTAATACAGAGATGCTATTTGCAAATAACCCAACAAATTATGCACAATAACTAAATACAGAAGTGATCCATGAAAATCTTATTTAAATTAAATAAAAATATATAAACACCTCCGTACCGCTACTTCTGAGCTAAGTTAAGTGTACGTTAGCCTAGTTGAGCATGCAATGCATGGATTATTGTGCACCTTTTCCACCTACCAAAGAAATGTTAATTTAAGTTACAAGTGTCACATATTTGAATCATTTAATCAACAACATGATTTTTGTTTACATACTTTATTATCACTAGCTATATATATATATATAGTTCTACTCCTTTAACAATATTTTAGATCGCACCGGGGCCGAGAAACTTTTACATACCAGTTGAAACCGTGTCACCAGTAACGTGTCGGTTTTATCAGTCAATCGACCATTTTCGATCATGATAATTAATCGACCATGTACTTGGACTGATAATTTTAACCGATTCACTTATAAATAGGTTGGTCGGTGAATTTAAGTTTACTTAGTTGACATTTTTTAATAATAAAAATTATATTATTTTTTTAAAATTTTAATTCTTGTTATTAAAAGTTAAAATAATATATAATATAAAAGAGATTAAATTCTAAGCGGATCAGCCGATATTTAATATAAATTGGATTCCACTAATTTTTTGACATGTGACACTCTTAAATCTTAACTCTTATAAATCATGCTGATTATAATTAGGGTTAGATGGGTTACAGGTTATGCTGTTTTTTTTTTCCAATTATTAGAATCCTATTTTTATTTAAACTATCCACGTGTCAATCATCCTATAGCATCCGTTTTTCTTTTAAAACAAGTCATCCGGTCTAAATTTGCACCCAATATAGAAGTCAAAAACTCAAAATATAATTTTTTCGTAAAGACGGTATAAATTTTGGATCCTTCAATTTTTCTGTTTTTCTCCCTACTATTATACAAATATATAAATATTTTTCATATTTATTATTAGAATATAAAATATGTTCATAAAAAACATATACTATTTTAAATAAAATCTATAAATGTTCACTTATTTTGGATTTTTTTTATTTTTTTTTGTGAATTTCTCTAAAATAAATTATCACACCCTCTATTGTATTATTTTGAAAAAAAACTCGACCCCTTATAAAATGTCTTGAGTCTAGGGGTTTAAACAAATCGAGCTCGCCATATTTTTCGAGCTCGAGTCAAATTTAGCGAGCTCGAGCTCAAGTCGAGTCGATCATGTCAAGCTCGAGCTCGACTCATTTTCTTTTTCAATTTTTAGATAATATTAACATTATTTTTTATTATAAATTATTTATACGATATGATAAAAAGGGTGTTTTTTTTTAATCTGAAATTTATTATTTAATGTCATATGTATTTATTATTATATATTAGTTACATTTATATATATTAAAGAATAAAAAAATATATAAAAGAACTCGTGAGCTTATGAACGAAAAAGTCAAATTTCAGCTCGAGCTTTTATCGAGCTCTCGTTTAATTTAATTACTACTTGTGTTCGCCCAGCTGCTTGCAATTGTTGAATTAATTGATCATTTTATATATGATCTTAATTAATAGCTTGTTGCAACTAAAGCACGACGCCTACTTGCAAGAGAAGTTTATATTTTTCATCAATCACATTGTAAATACCAGTTGGTCTGATTAATGATTTCTTAATTAATATTAATAAGCTTCTCACTAATTATAACTCAATATATATCATATATATTGCAAGTAAAGCACGAGGCCTATTTGCATGTACTGTGTATTTATTATTTAAGATTCCCGACCAGTAATACACGTTATTGACGTGGATATTTTTCATATATCATATAATAAAGCTTGTAAGTTGGTCTAATTAATTGTTACTGTAAATTACTATTGAGATCCTCTATGAGACCATGAATTAATGATTTTTTAAACAACTAATTAAAGCTTGAGCCCTATTTGCGTGTACTTTATATATATATATAAGAGTAGGGAAATTAGATGCTACATCTGGTTATATACACTGAGTGCATTTTAATCGTAGATCTACATGTAATCACACACATATAACATACACATGTTTATGTGTGCTTGGTGGATATATAGTTATTTAATTAAATCTACGGTTCAAATCGTCCCGATATAAATAACAAGGTGTAGCATCTAAATGCAATTTGCAGATGAAAAAATTGATGAGGGCATATATGGAAGGAGCAAAATGGTGTTATAGTAAGTATATGCCGAGTACGATGGAAGAGTATATGAAGGTAGCAATCGTAGGCGCTGGATATATGATGGCAACAACATCTACTCTATCGTTGGTTGTTATGGAAGAAAATATAGTCACAAATGAACACTTTGATTGGATCACATCTGAACCGTTGATTGTACGAGCATCATGCACCGTCGCCAGATTAATGGACGACATCGTAGGATACGGGTTATTTAATTAATTAATTGATCTTGGAATTAATAATTTGATATTAGTACTTTTGCCTTAGTATTAATGCAGCCTCTGATCTACCAATCGTTTTGCGTGTTCTTAATCTCACTCGTACGATCGATCTTCTTTACAATGGCGAAGATGGATATACCAACTCCAAAACGAAAACGAAAGAGATTATAACAAGTGTACTCGTTGAGCCCGTTACGATTTGAAAACTACGCGTAGTGAGTAAAGAAGATCAATATTATGTTTACTGATTAATTGGAAACATACAATTTCTTGATGTGTTTTATCATAAAGTTTCATTATTGGAATAATCTGAATTCAATTTTTAGAATTTTATCATAAAAGTATTTGTTGGGAAAATTGGTTAAAAATGGTGTCATGGACATTTTTTTATCAAGGGTTAATGGCAAATAGGCCCATGACAAGGGCACTTAATTAAAAGAGAGACATCGAACTTTTTTATCTTTCAAATAAATCGAGTCCATTCAAACTTATTTGCAAATAAGGAAAATCCTTTTATATATACCAAAATTACCCCCAATTCATTGAAACCCAATTTAACTCCAATTTCATGATTTACACCCCAATTTAGCCCAATTTCATCAATTAACTAATTTTAACCCTAATTTTAATTTTGACCCGCCACAACCGGAGACCGCCGGTTGCCGCCGTTGACCGGCGTTGACCGCCGGTCTCCGGCGTTGATTTTTTTTTTTTTAATTTTTTTTTTATCCTGAAATTTTTTTCCGGCCGGTTAATTGCCGTTGAACGCCGGGTCTCTGGCGTTGACTTTTTTTTTTTCTTAAAAAAAATATTTTAATTAATATTACTGTCTTGGCTGCTAAATTACTGTCTTCGGCAGTTATTTAACTGTCGGAGACAGTAATTTAACTGTTAATTGACTTTTTTTTTTCTTCAAAAATATTTTAATTAATATTACTGTATTCGTTGCTAAATTACTGTCTCCAGCAGTTATTTAACTGTCGGAGACAGTAATTTAACTGTTAATTGATTTTTTTATTCTTAAAAAAAATATTTTTAATTAATATTACTGTATTCGTTGCTAAATTATTGTCTCCGTCAGTTATTTAACTGTCGGGGACAGTAATTTAACTGTTAATTAACTTTTTTTTAATTATTTTTTTCCTTAAAAAAAATTATTTTAATTAATATTACTGCCTTGGATGTTAAATTACAACTGTCTTAGACAATAATATTAATAATATTACTGTTCGGAAAAATAATATTCATAATATTACTATCCCAAACAGTAATATTACTGTCTGAGACAGTAATTTAGTAGCCAAGACAGTAATATTAATTAAAATATTTTTTTTCTAAGAAAAACAATTCAAAAAAAAAAAAAAAAAGTCAACGGTGGTTGACCGGCCGGAAAAAAAATTTCAGGAAAAAAAAAATTTCAAAAAAAAAATAAAAAAGTCAACGCCGGAGATCTGGCCGGAAAAAAAAAAACATTTTAGAAAAAAAATTATTTTCTGAAAAAAAAAAGTTTTGGGGGTTAATGTGATATATTTGTTTAAATTCGGGGTCAATGTGTAATATTAAGGAAATTAGAGCATAATGGGTGGAATTGATAAGAATTATATGATTGAGGGTATTTTACACTAAAGACATGGGGATGGACTTAATTGAGAGACTGTTTTTTTTGTTGACCAAAATGCATTTAAGTCCCATGTGATGGGCCTTTTTGCCATTTGCCCTTTTATCAATGTTATTGTATGGTCTAATTGATTATATAAATCAACTTTTGGATTAGATTAGCATAAAACCAATTTTGTGGTAATGAAAAATTACTAGTCCAAAATATAAGGAAAGTGAGATTTTCACATTGGAAAAGTAGAGAAGTACCGAGCTATTTATATATCTCAATATTGAGATTAAAGGTCACACCCTTTGGGTATACAACTTTACTTGGGAGAAAAGGCTTAGGGCATGTTTGTTTCTATTTCCAAATTTAATTTCCAGTTTTATGCTATACATAAAACTGGAATTATGTTAGTTTGACAATTATCAATTGGAAATTCCTAATTTTTCTTAACAATTTTTCCAATATTCATACTTTTCCCACTTTACAAACATATAATAATACCTACTAACCTATTTCTCTCTCCTCCATTTTTTCTCCCATCTCATTAATAATAATAATAATAATAACAACAACAACAACAACAACAACAACAACAACAACAACAATAATAATAATATTAATCCTCAATCATTATATTCTACTAATTCCTATTTTTCTTAACAATTTTTCCAATAGAAATACACTATTCATATTTTTCCCACTTTTCAAACCTATAATAATACCTACTAACCTATTTCTCCCTCCTCCATATTTTCTCCCATCTCAATAATAATAATAATAATAATAATAATAATAATAATAATAATAATAATAATAATAATAATAATAATAATAATATTCTACTTTTGCACGTACTTTCGTAGAGAAAATTCACCACAACCAAACATATTCTCATTTCTACACCTACATAAAACTAAAAATACCACTCCATCCAAACATATTCCCATTTTCTACACATAAACCAATACATCTACTTTTTCCATCAGAAATTTTGAAAACTAGAAATTCACATTGGAAAAATAACCAAACATCACCTTATATGTTATGTGTTTCGAATCGTGCGCGCGCCGCCGAACGGCCGTCTCAGCTCGCTTGTTCGTACGGATCAAATTTGGATTTGGGTCTAGGCCCAAACCACCATATTATTTTTTGGGCAAAAAACATTAGGACATGGGCCATCAACCCATTGAACTCTCCTTACCCGAAGCCCATCTCGTATGGTCTGACTCGTTTGAATAGGACATGGGCCGTCAACCCATTGGACTCTCCTTACCCGAAGCCCATCTCGAATGGTATGACTGGTTTGAATTGGTGCGGCCGAACAAATGCAAACCAATCGGCTCAACTCGAAGTGGTGCAACCATTCGGCCCCAAAAACTCCTTAGTCGAAACAACACATATATTGGGCTCAACCAGTATGTTTATGTACATTTTTGCTCCAAAGGACACTACTTTCCAAACATTATAAACAGACCCCGTTTTTCCCATAATTCCTCACTTCAATCCAAAAACAGTCTACTGCATATTTAGCCTACCTAATACAGATTCTCTCAAAAAGTTATACACAAAGTACAGTTCGTCGTGCTTGGGATTTTGAGTGCTCATATTCCAAGTCTTTGGCGTTGTATCTTGGGAGACGATTTCCGTTCAGACCGTTAGCACCGTTGCGGGGAAATTTCATCTTAAGGAGAGAGTCAACTCGCATCAGCAAACATCCACTTGTGGCAGAAATATTCCAACAGTATTTAGTATATGGTCTACTATGTACATACATATATTCAGGAGATTTCCTTTATGGGAAAAATACATATTTTTTTATCACTTAAGTTTACATGGATTTCACATTTTATCTTTCATGTTCACAAAAAAAACGCATTTGATCCCTTATGTTTTAAAAATTCCAAACTCTTAGTTATTCCCGTCAATTTTCCGTTAGTACTAACAAATTTAATGGTGCGTCCATAATGCCTTAACTGGCGAACTAGTGATAAAATGACGGAAATGACCCAAATTGAAATTATTGAAAATTAGGGACCAAATATAGTTTTTTGTAAATATTAAGGACCAAGTGTGAAATCAATGCAAACTTCAGAGATGACAACTGTAATTTCTCCCATGTTTATTTTTGCCCAATCTATGTTCGTCCAAGCAAGATCACAAGTCATAACTCGTAACAAAGGGATCAAACATATATAAAAACATTTATATTTTATATGTATATATAAAAATATAATTTAATTTTAATGGATACATATTCAATAACTTCTCCAAATTACTAAACAGATAAATAAGTGAATTAAAAAACTGAGAATTAATTATACAACACTTGCATCTGCTGACGGTTCAGAATTCCCTTTGAACAGGTCAGCAAACGTGGGCAGCTTCAACACACCTTGATACGACACCGGAATGGTGACGTCACCAATCACCGGAAAATCAGCGATCATCTTCAACTCCAACGAGTAATCGATATCCCAATCGGCGGCGGCGTCCCGGAGCAGGCTGACAACCGCGGTGCTGGCCACCTTCACCGTCACATCCAGCACGGTTTCGCCGTTGGCCTTGAGCGATCCAGGGTCCGGCACTGAACCGGAGGCGATCGTTGCGCCGGCGCTGCTGACGATGTAGCTGATTTCTCCGACGGGAATCGGAACGGCGTACGGATTGGAAATGGAAACCTTAGCCAGGAGGGTTATTCCGTCGAGGCCGAAACCCTTGAGATCGACGTCTTCGACGGTGGCCTCCGGCACCGGCATCTGGGCCACCTTTTCGGCGACGAAGTTCTTCGCCTGCTCCACAATCCCCATTTTTCTTCAATTCAACTCCTCTGTATATATGTATAATGTATCTATCGATGTGTGTATTTATATACGGCGGGCGGCGGATATATATGTTATTTTAAATTATTATTGAAAGAGTCAATGAATAGTAGTGGCAATATCGTGCAGATTGAATTGTGTTGATGATCTGGTTTTGGTGATCTGATAATTGCGATTGTTTTCCATTTATGCATTATTAAAACGGTAAATTACAAAAATTCCATTGAACTTAGACTGAATTATGAAAACACCCCATCTTTCCTTGTATGGTGTGATTTCTCTCCGAATCTTTTTTATTTCGAGGAATATTTTCCGAAAATGCTGATTCTACCTCTGAGAAAAGTCTTTTAAATGTAGGTGGTCTTGGTATACCTTTTGCAAGCAACCTCTTTTTCTGCAACATCACATTGCAATGTCACTATACTTTCTGGATTGTTAGTATGAACCATCATAGCGTAGATCGGCAATTTTTAAACATTTGTGCATGGCTACTTTCGATTTGTTCTACGTTTGTAGGGGTCAAATCAGTATCTTTTGGTATTCTCTCGAATAAAAAGAGATTTCGTGAAAAATCACACTATAATAGAGTCGGTGTAAGACGGAAATCAATGTCACGAGATTTTAGTAATTACGGATAGGTGGGGGTGTTTCATAATTCAGGCTAAGTTCAAGGGAGTTTTTGTAATTTACCCTTATAAAACGACATTATATCATATGACAATTCAAAAGTAAAATTATAAAATGCATTATAAATCTTAAAAGGTGGCCCTTTTGAATTGACCAAAACAATTCAGACAAAACCTGCTACCACAATATCAAATTTTATTTCATAATATATATATATATATATATATATATATATATATATATATATATATATATATATATATATATATATATATAAATGGGGCAAATTACGGCCGCCCTGGTCAAATTACGAAAGCCACCCCTGTTTGGGTAAGTGTAGATATCCCCTTACTATCTTACGAAAATACCCTTCTAAAGGTAAATTTAGGGATGTTAAATCGGTAAAACCGAACTGAAATTTCGGTACGCCAACATTTCATACCGTTTACCGAACTGAATATACGATTTGATTCACTAAATAACCGAATTATATAAATTTATGAAAAAAATATTTAAAAGAAAGGGCTGCTGTAATTACCCAAACAAGAGGGTTTTTCGTAATTTAGTCATACCTCAGGGGTGGCCGTAATTTGCCCCACATATATATTCTTGGTCACCATTTGCACGCACCTCTCCATTATCAGTTAAATATTGAGAAGTTGTTGCAAAAGACTTGACTGGGGAACAAAGCATCACTTCATAATCTCAACTGCCTAAAGTTTGATTTATCAATAATTATACAGAGGTGTGTTCAAGATCCCTTTTCAGCTCACTTGTACATTGCTTAATTGTGCTTTAGTGATTGTACTCTTACACCGTCTCTTCGCTTGTCTTTCCCGATTATCGACTCGGTATTCTCTACACATGGACGAGTACAAGTTTTCACAACTCAACCAAACTCGAATCGACTACTACTGGCTGTTGTTCTCTCTGCACGGTCATCAACAAAAGCAGAAAAAATAAAGTCAAGAAAGTGTGTTTTCAGTCCGTCAAATGGTTTCGACCCGATTTGTCAAAGAACAAATCATCGGCAGAAAAAAAACATGTTGGAGATGTCGGGACATAAACCCGAAATATGTATATTCATAGACAGTGCTCAATTCCTTAGACAGACACAAATCTTACAACCTACAATTCCCCAGTAACCAAAATGAAACTATTCTATAATCATCATACTTATTCAGATAAATACTAGAAAGAAAAAAAGAGGGGTCTTTATAACGTAACTTACAACAACATCGTCTACAAATTCACTATGTATTTCTTCTCAATGCCAAGCAGAAGCCGAAACAAGATTCCTATCCTTCCACCCGAGAAGCATCCCTCCGTCTTTCTCCACCAAAGTATAATGCTCGGAATACGACCTCAACAGCCCTCCAATAACCGAATTCACGTACCCACTCAACGGAAACTGCCTGAACCCCGCCATCATAAACCTCGATCTCCACTTCCCCAAAAGCTCGTGCCTTTCAACTCTCTCCTTCCCTTCGCACGCGATAATGTTCACCATATCCCTCGCCAGACAATGCTGCTCCACGTTAATCCTCTCCTTCCTATCCCTCCCCATCGTCACATCAATCGACTCGAATATAGCCGAGTAGTAATCCAATGTCTCCACAAACCTCTGCACAAACGGAGCTGTGTTCGTGTTCGATTCTTGCTCTACAAGCGTCACCACTTTCGGTGAGAGCGACCTCACCATTCTCAAAAGCCCGTCTCGTGGGTTCGTGACGTCGACGCTCTCGTCTGGTGTGTGGTGGAGCTGTAGTGGAAAATTCACCGCCAGTGCCTCCCCTTGCCTCACATCAAGCATCTCTTTAGTAATATCGGGGGCGAATACTGGAATTGCGTGGAACTCGACGGGAATCTTGAATTTCTCAGAAATCGCGGCTAATCGTTTTTCGACCAACGATAGGCCTTCACCACGTGCGTACTTCGAAACGGGGTCGTCTATCCCCGTTATTCGAACATGTGGGGGCCCGCTTGGTCGTGCGGCTAGGGCTTGTAACAAAGTCATCCATTGAGTGCCTTGAGCGATCTGGAAATCGACGATGTGGATTCGATCCTCGTTCTTGCATGCTTCGGCTATTGCCCCATTGGCTGCCATGTAGCCGAATTTGAGATACGGGCATATCTCGTATAGGATGTGCATGTAGTTTAGCAAGTCCTTGCTGTCGGGCTCGTTGCACTTTAGGGTTCGGTAGATATTTGTTCCGGAAGATTCTTTTCTCGCAACTAAGCCCTCGATTAAGTACGCGCCCAAGCGCTGGATCGGCTCACCACTGATTGAGACATTAGCGCGAGCAAGCTCCACCAGCCTCTCGAACTCGGCTATTCTGTTCTCGTGTAGAGCTCGAGCGCACGCAACTAGCAGCTGCTTGAGATTATTAGGAGGCGGCACCACCACGTGTGGTGGCGGTGGGAAATCGTCCTCCATCCCTTTTCGGCGTTTCTCGAGGTGGGATTGGTCGAACGAGTGATGATGATGTGGCGATTCGGTTTGGTTTTCTTGGCTCCACGCTCTTGATCTACTACTGCGGCCGGATGTCGTCACTTCCTCTTCGAGATCGGGTGCCATGAGAGCGCTCTCTAGCTCCAGCAAAGCATGTCTTATGTTGTTGCTGTTGTTGTTGTTGTTTGCATTTGGAGGGAAATAAGGTGTGTGAGAGGTTCTTGATTGTTGGAGGTAGGTGCTGTAATCCAGTGAAGAATTCGACGAAGGGGTAGTTTCGGAAAGATTGTCGGTAGAACCTTGGCTGTCGCTGAGTGGGGTTAGGGTTTCGGATTCGAAATGCGTGGACAAGGGCGAATTGGGCGAGTTTCTTGAATCGAATTTCAATAGTCTTGTCGGTATGGAGGAAACTGCAGGGTACGAGGAGTACGGTAGGTCTGTGCCGGAGGAACTGTAACTGTAGCCGGAATAACGAGAGTCCATCCTATGTAACAAGCATTGACTGCTTGACTGTTTTTTTTTTTTTTCAATTTAAAGAATTTTTTAGCAAAATTCTTGTGATTTCAAGAAAGTTGAATTGAAGAAAAGTATTACAACCTGCGAAACAAGGGGAGAGAATAATTAAAAACTCAATCTTTGGACAGTAAAAGAAAGGAAATTAAACAGCATATTCCAGTTGAAGATAAACATTAACGAATGGAAACAAAATAGGAATTAGTATTTAATTATTTATTGTTTCCACCTTTATGACAGGGTTGAATTAAATTAGGTTTTACAACATCCAATACCATTTAACTATTCCAAATTCAGACAACATATGAAAATGAAGAACAGATCCAGAAAAAAAAAAAGAAGAGTGCTTTTACTACTTCAATCATGAACACCTCCATTTATAACACAAGATTCTTAATTCAGACCACAAACATCGAGAAATCAAGCAAAAAAGATTAAACCTTTAAAGCAAAAGAGATGAAAAACGAAGTAGTACCTGGTGTTGTTGCAGAAAGACGAGTCAAAATCAGGTCTCTGATTATGCAAAGAGAAAAAGGGTATAACTGTGAGATATTTAATTATCAGGGTGTGAATTGTAAGAAAGAAAAGATTTAATGAAGGATGAGTCGAAAGAATGAACAAATGGAAGGTGGAGATTTTATAAATAGGAAGCAAAACCCCACACCCACTGAGGGGATGGTGAGCGGAAACTCCAGATGTACATTAACGGTAACGGCGATAGTGGGGGGTGGGACTGAAAGTGTACGGTTTTGTATTTAATTGACGGCGTCGCTGACGATTAATTGAAAGGAGTTAAGTATCCCCGCCGACCACACGTTCGACGCTACGAGAAACATTCTCTCGGCTTGGCTTACATACAGCTCATCAGCTTTGCTTTGTAGTGTGTGGAGGGGAACGCCCTCATGTTGTGCGTGGACAGCACGCGGGTAAACTTGACAGCGTGGATTTATACCGCTATGATGTTTTTATTTTTTTAAATATATGTGTTTTTTATTGAAATACGGCAAAGTGAAATATATTTTATAAACTTATTTTTAATTTTTCATTATATTTTTTTGTTAGATAAGTATTTTTTTTTAATTCCGATCATATGGTTTAACTAGTCGTGAATATCAATAACAACCTTATTATGAAAATCATTTTTTTTTTCTTTTTCACAAATATAACTCAAATAGTTACGTCTTTTAAGTATAAAATGTTTATAAATTATGGCAAACGACTTACTTGAAGGTAGGTGTGCGTCACCCTTTGGCAATAGTGGATTCAAATCCATCCTCAACTTATATTATTATTAATCACACATATACAGAGCCAAATTAATTGTCTTTTACTACTTATAATGTCGAAGGATATTTTCAACTGTGAATATCACAAATTGTATTCTGAAATATGTTTTTCTCAATTTTTTAGAGACAGGGCAACCATCTTGCTCATACTTTAGCTGCGGAGTCGAACCACACTACTTTGGAAGACTCTTGCATCCCTCGATATCTAACTTGTATATACCCTAGTCAAATTTGATTTTTTTCCTAAAAAAATAGAAAAAATATTTCTCTTCAACAATTTTCAATTTATTTATTTATTATTGTAGATAAAATGAAAAGCTTTAAACCAATAGTGTAGATGTCGTCACGCGCTGTGGTGAGGGACTTGCATACTATGGAACAGCGTGGAAGCATAAGCCGAGCCGAGCCGTTGAAAGGGGAGGTGACCGTCACGTGACACAAACGTGACGTAAGGAGGTGGCATACGCAGCAGTTGACGGGTGTAATAGTCTGACCAAGAAAGATGTTGACACGTGGGATCAACATCTCCACAATTTTGACCATTTTGACCTGACGTGGCAACGCGGTATGACTGACTGTCCCTCACAGCCACAGCCGCTTTGAAACTCGGTGGGACCCAATATTTGGCCCAAATGGGAAACCACTCATACTTCAAATCTAATTTTATTCTTATTAAATTATTAAATTAATAATAAAAGAAAAAGGGCTGAACAGTTATTTTAATTGAAAATTATTATTATAAATGAAGGGTTCACATTATTTTAAGGTGTATATAGTTTCTGGAGTTAGATTGTAAAATATATTACAGATATTTAATTGATTAGATATTATGAGTATCTCAAATAAATTATCATTATTTATAAATAAATGCAGTCAGATTAAGAGTGATATAATTATAAACAAATATCTATAATCTGATTTATAATATATTTAAAAAGAAATTAATTAATTAATATTTAAAATAGATAATAGTATTCTATGTTATGCTTATTAATTATGAAAACTCCATCCAATAACACAATCATCTCCACACCATGGCTAACTTTTATGGAGCATCTATACTCTGTAATTAGTGGGTGTCCATGAAATGTAAAAATAATATTAAAATAAACGAATAAATTAAAGTGAAATTTTGATAAATTTCTTGCATATTTTATTCTTTGGAATAAACTATAGAACATCAAATGTGACAAAGACATCCAAATTGGTGAAATTCTAACTTTAAACGACTAATAGATAATACTATCTTATTTACTGTTTGTACAAGCTTATTTAAAGGAGAAGTTAGTAATTGTGAATTAGGTGGTTAAATGCTTAAAAATTTCGGTATTTACAAACATATTAAAAATGAAAATTTACATAGAAAAAATAGGTGTAGGGTCCTTTTAGAAAATAACTTAAAACAGCTTATTTTGCAAACACCTAGGAACAAAATTATGAGGGGAAAAAAAACTTGTAAGTTGTTTATATAAACTGTTGCAAACAAACCTAATTCGTTTATTAAAAAAAATAGTTGTAATCATTATTAATCAATATACCTTGAAGTAGATATATTGAGAAATCTAGTAGATAAATGTAAATATATAACAATATTAATATATATATATATATTAATATGAAGCTGGAAATCACATGACTTCAATTAATATTCTCCTTTAAACCTTTACAATGTGATGATTCCTTTGCACGTTAAACTATATATATATATATATATATATATATATATATATATATATATATATATATATATATATATATATATATAAAACTCATGATTTGATGAGTGAAAGTATAATGAACGACTGTACATTCCCCACTACATGAAAATAATGAGTGCAACAAGCAATTATTCATTCCAGGCTAAGCTATACTAAAAAGCTCAATTTAATTCATCAAAAGTACCATATATATATATATACTATGTTATCCTCAATAAAGTGGGAAATAATAGTGCTGAAAATTAAATAAAAAAAAATTGTATTCATGCATGGTATTCCCCTCAGTTCACAATTAAAAATTAAATAATTAAATAAAAATAATTATTTTTGGGTGGGATTTGGTAATATGAAACGTCTATAGATAGTATTATTGAAACATCACTATCCAACTTTTGTTCTATATCTAATTATTAATTATTATCTATCGTCGTGTTTGGCTTATATCAATATATCAACTGGGAATTGATAGATTTGTCTTTTAACTATATATATATAAATAAATATAGTAACAATAATATGTGGTGACCCTTCACTCTCATAATCCCAAATTGAGTTTTTTCATCATTGACTTGTAGCTTTATTTTAATTTGTTTCTTTGGTCATGGATTCAATCAATCAGAGGGTTAATTTTATTCATATATCTAATGACAGATTCTAAGGAATATTCCATGACAAAATAATTATATACTTTTATTTTATGACTTATAATTATAGCATATAATTCTTGATTAATATCCAGAAATCCTTCGGTAATCAATTTATGGAACATGGAATCAAATGATATTAGAAATTAGAATAATAACTGATAAATAGTAGTATTTAGGTATTTACTTAGAAAATCAATTTACTTGCATAGGTCAAATTGGTTGACTATTTAATGTTTTGAAGTCAAACTTGAAAGATTAAAAAAAAATTAATAATAAAAAAATCGGCCACATAGAAGTATTGAACATTCCATCGTATGACTAAGAAATTAACATAACAATATATAAAGACCCTAGAAAAAAAATGGCATGACAATTGACAGGGGGTCCTCTAGTTGGGCTCAACTAGTGTCTTTATAGATTCTCAATTTGTCACAACTCAACCATTTTAGCCACATATTTAACCTTATTCACTTCTTAAAAGTTGGTCAATTATAGATTTTATTACCATTTATATTCATTTAAAAATAGTTCTACACACATTTTAATGCTACACTACTCCAATTCTTACAACTTCTTGAAATAATTGGATTTAAAACGAATAAAAAATTAATTTTGTAATGTATGGCCTTACAACACATGCGCTCAAAGTGATCCGAATCCCCGACCTCTAACCATATACCATTATGGGGGGGCTCGCGTTACCCCACTAGGCTAAAGCTTAGTTGGTTTCCTCATATCCGAATTGTCAAACGGAACCGGAAACGGTGCGTATTGCATAAGTAGAGATGAAAGTTGAAACGTAGTTTCTATTTTTTGTCGGGTTTGATCGAAAAGGTTGGTTCAATTTGGAAAGAAACAACTTAAGTTATAATTTCCACATTTCTCTATTCTCGTTCACTAGAGCTCTAATTTCCCTTTTTGTGCTCGTTTCTTCCACTCATTCACTCAAAAAATCAATTTTTGTTTGAAATTACTAAAACCTATATGATTTTCAAAATTCTAAAATTTCCGAAACTTTTGAAATCGGAATGAATTCCTAGATTTCTAAAAAAATGAAATTGGGATTGAAAGTAGTTTTGTGCTTCCGAAAAAAAATTGAATCTTTTTTCCTGCTTCCAATATGTTCCGTCTGGCTGTCATCTCTATTCATAATTATATAAGTATCAATTTTAATATATCAATCAATTCATGGAGGAAAATCAATGAATTATCAACGGAATTAAGAAGGAAATTAAATGGATTGGAGTTCAGAAAACCCAATTTTTTTTTAATAAAAATAGTTATTTAAAATATGGGAACGTCAACTGACGAAAGTGGTCTATAAAATAAATAAATTGCATACTGACTGACGAGGAAATTACATGCACTTTCAATCAAACTTTCTATCTGTTTTTAATTAAAAGAGTCTTTAATTGAAACTTATTGTGTTACGTTGACCAAGAAACCAAGTATATATAATGGAATTCCGATAAATTAATATTCGAAAAATTAATAATCTCTCATTTAAATAATAATTTCATCCGATCTCAACTTAGTGAGAACATGATAAATTATTATCTAGATAATTTAAATATTTCACTAAATTAATAGAATTTATGTGATCCTGATTGTATTAATTTATAAATGTTTAACTGTATATTCTTCGATTCGGCATATTTTATTTAGTCATCATTTGATAGATAATAAGATTATCCTTCAAAAAAAATATAAAAACTTCACTTAATAATCAAATGATATTATTGGTTTCTGAAAAAAAAAATATTGTATAATTTTATCTCGACTAATTTTATTTTTAGCTAGACAGACGATCAATCAGAATCCATTGTTGTTTTTGTTCGGGACTCATATACTAGTCAACTAGAACCTAGCTATAATGTAATATACTTTTCATCATCCACTTGTTTTCTTGCAAGAATTTTCCAAGGGAATTAATTGTATGAATATTTCATATTTACCATTAAAAAGTCGTGTAAGATATTAGTGCAACAATGCATGGTACTTGCCATGTATATTCAGTTTGCTGTTTATGTAATGTTAGAAATATAATAATTAATAAAAATAAA